TTTGAGCATAGTTGAACTTTCAATCTTTTATTTTGTGGCATTTGGATTTTGTGTTGTGTTTAGAAGGCTCTTTTCTACAGTAACATTATTTTGAGGAACATCTTAGCATGATTGATTTGGGTATTTTAATGGTTTCATTTTGTACATTTTGGTTTTTGATTCAAATGAAACTTAACCTGGAGTAGGAAGTGTGAATTTAACTTTTCCTGGATGGTCATTTAGGTTGGCAAACACCTTTTACAGAATAATCAATCGTCTCTCCTCTTCATATTTGAAATATACCTTTATCAGATATTAAATGACCATATGTATTTTGGAATATTTTCTTTTTTCTTTCTTCTTCTTTTTTTTTTTGTAGTGGGGATTAAACCCCAGGGGCACTTAATCATTGAGCCACATCCCCAACCCTATTAAAAAAATATATTTATTTAGAGACAGGGTCTCACTGAGTTGCTCAGGGCCTTGCTAAATTGCTAAGGCTAGCTTTTAGTTCAAGATCCTCCTGCCTCAGCCTCCTGAGCAGCTGGGATTGCAAGCATGTGCCACATTGCAGGGCCTATTTATGGTTTATTGATTCTGGTTTCTCATGCTAGTACCATGCTGTTCGGGGGGATTTGGGTTTGGTTTTTTTTTTAGTTCTGAGGATTGAATCCAGACATGCTCTACCACTAAGCCACAAATTTAACCTGGAATATGAAGCCACAATCCCCACTGCTTTCTATTTTTTTGTTGTGAGGAAAGGTCTTGCTAAGTTCCTTAGGATCTCACTAAGTTGCTGGGGCTGGCCTCGAACTTGCAATCCTCCTGCCTCAGCCTCCTGAGTTGCTGGGATTACAGATGTGCACCACCATACCCAGCAGTACTACACAGTTTTACCATAAATATTCTTTGAAAGAAAAAATACCTGAGAAGATTGGTTGCCTTTTATTACTCTCATTTTTAGAATTTTCCTAGTCATTTTTGTTTGCTTATTTTTCCAATAATTTTTGGATCATTTCTCTAATTTCTCCTAAATTTAAATTACATAATTAAATGCATTTCAGTAGTGTTAAATATGTATTAATTCAGGGTAAATTGATGTGTCTTGCTGGTGTTGAATTTTCTAATCCAACAATTCAGTGCGCTTTTTCAAATGATCTGAAACATTTTGTCTTTTTATGGTTGTTTGGGATCCTTACAAATTAACATTTCAGGAAATGACTGTGCCATACTTTCTGTGGCTCCCTTGGCCTCTAGGATTAAGTCTAAATGTCTTAGCTTTTCATTCAGGGATTGCTATATCCTGTTTAAAACCTGTTTTGCGCCTCTCTCTCTCTCTCTCTCTCTCTCTCTTTTTCCTGTGGTACTAGGACTCTAACCCAGGGCTTCACACATGCCAAGCAAGCACTCTACCACTGAGCCACATCCCCAGCCCTTAAAACCTATTTTGCACATGTCTGCTAACCTGCAGCATTCAGTAGCCTGTGGACAAGCTTTGTCCTTTGATGCCTGTCTGCTTGGGCTCATTCTGTCTTCCTGACTTTCCTTCCTTTCCACATATACAAAGTGCTTTTCTGAAGAAGGACCCCCTTGATGACTCCAATTGAAATGACCTCTGTCTTCTTTGACATCTGGAACATTTATTATATGCACCATTTATCTTGTAACTAAGCCAGTATTATCTTGTAGCAGCATTTGTGTGATTAAAACTAATTGCCATTTATTTCTTGTTTGGTTGAAAAATGAACTGTTAGTGAGTATGTGTCTTGTTTCCTCAACTCCATCATGAGACCTCCGGGAGCCTGAGGCGGCCTATGCGCACGCATTCTCTAGGACAGGCCCATGCACGTAGTAACAGAAGCCGTGGTGATGATAACTCACATGATGTCATGCTTTCTGTGTGCCAGCATTTTCCATGTATAACTCAGTGGAAAAATATGTGAGGGTTTGGTGTCGTGTGTATATTGGACCTTAAGCTTAACTTTTGAAGGAGGTTACGAGAAAGAGATCACTCATCAAGATACCTAGAGAGTAATTCTGGGTTAGAGCTGACCAGTGAGGAAGATGAGTTTTCTTAGGGCAGCCCTGACACTTAGTGGGAGTGGAAGTGGCCACGGCCTGGGAAGGAGGAGAATCGGAGTCGCCCTGGGTTCCAGAGACCAGGAGCCTGTCCATGCTCACTCACTCCTTCCTGCAAGGACAGGGTTAGAGCTCTGGAAATAAATCCTGGCTCCTGCAGAGCCTTGCTGAGGCTTCCTTCCCACAGCCTGATCCACTGCAGGATGGCTCTGGTGCCCTGGGGACAGGCCTATGCACAGCGCCTTCCCTCCTGTCCACAGTACCAGGGTCCCCCCCACCCCCCAGCTGGCTCTGGGCCACTGGTCTCTCCTGCACTCGGAAGGTTCCTGAGGAGTGACCAGGCCATGCGGGAGTGAATGTGCTGAGAGGGTCGATGGGGAGCAGCCAAGCGAATGGGCTGATGGGAAATTAATCCCCACCCTGGGCCTTTTCTCTCCTTTTGATCATCATTACCCTCTCGGGATCTTCCCTGTGTCTCAACACTGCAAAACATTGCAGGGTGCGGGGGACTCTGGGTAATTCCACCCCAGCCTCCAAGTTACAGCAGCCAACAGGCCACTGCCCGTGCTCTCCATCTGCAGCTCCAGCATTTGGGGGCCTAAAGCGCATCATTTATGTGTTGAAAACTGGGGAGCTCTGAGGATGTTTCATGAAACTTCTGCACCAATGTATGTGCCAGCCCAAACTCCATGTCCCCAGCTAGAAGTACCCCCTTATCCTTTTACCAGGTACAGATAAACACGTCTGAGCACTGTGTGTCATGAAGCTTTGGGGTTTAAAGACAGGAGAATGTAGAAGGAAAAAAAATTAGCTTTTGGGGACACTTACTTGCTAAAGGGGCTGAAAGTTTCAGTGCCTTAGTCAAAGGTTGCACATCTAATTGAAAGGATGAGCCACTTAAGAAACAGATCTGGTTTCTAGGGAAAACCCTGGGGGACTCTAGCTGACTCTGTTGAATCCCCAAATGCCCCAGAATAAATGCGGTTGCTTTCTGGCCAGCATTATCATCAACACTTTGGATGCATTTTGCTGAAGCTGTCTCTGAAACTAGGAAAGCATTTTAATTTGACGTAGACTACAGGGTTTCCGCATGCAACTTTGCCCAGAGGTCCAGAATGAATGAATGCCGTTTTATATTTTGTATTTATTTAAGGTTCAGATGAGCTGTACTAGTACTTTTCCTCTTCTTGGAGAGCTTCTTTAGATGGCTGCCACAGAATTTTTCATATATGACTCAAAAACCCATCATATGTGTCATAGCCTTCATCTGCCTCAAAGATGGGGACTGTCCTGTCCTTGAATTCCCTACCTCCACCCAGAGCCTGGCACCTGATGGGTGTACAGTAAACATTTGCTGAATGAATGAACAGATGAATAGAGAGGCTGAGTTCCTAGCACTAAAATAGCCATGAAGTAGGAAGGAATTTGATGCTAGAGCCTCAGGAACTGCCAGCTTTATACCCTTGAGGCGGCACTGGCTAGGCTCCTCTTTTTGTAATCCTGAAGTCAGGTATTTAATAATTGAAGAAGCCAGCCCTTCCACGGTTTGGGCTCTGCTGAGTTCACATCCAGCTTGCTTCCACAGTGCCAGCGTTCCCTCCAGGCTTAGCCACACTATGTCTGCTCTGGCTGTGACCCACCCCCCACGCACCGTCCCTAGGGATCCTGCAGGGCCCCCAGGCTCAGCCACGCTGTCAGGTCAGCTGAGCTCTGAATGCCCAAACCCAGGTGGCCAGGAGCCAATTGCCACCAACTGTTCACAAAACCAAGCAGAAGGAGGGCTCACGCCACCTTCTCTCTTGTTTCTATTTCTTCTTTTCTACCGCTCCTTGCTCTCTTTCTCCCCTTTCTTTGTGTTATCCCAGTCTTCTCTCTTCTCTCCAGCCTTACCTGGACAGGTTAGTGGCATTTATTTATACAAAGATACCAAGAATTACCCACTCGAATTGGGAGCTTCTTTGGGGCTGATGTTGATTAGGATGGAGGTGTCTTGTCACCATCCCAGAGCTGAAGATCAAGAACCCCTGCCTGCCATTCTGGGGGTAGGAAACAAAGAACTGTGCAATGGGTAGAATAGATATAGTGCAATGCTCATAGCTCCCGGAAGGAGCATTCATTCTCGTTAACCCCATGTGGATCACCATTCTATATATCCTAACTCTTCATCTCTTTCCTCTACCTACCAGGAACTCCTTGTAGGCAGATGATTTGTTTTACCTTCCTATGTCATCAGGCCTAACATAGGCCTGCCACCTAGTACAGTCATCCCTAGTACAGCTAGGAAGCACCAGCTGTGAAGCACCAGGCCCTGGGGGTGGAGAGGTGAACAGGACACCAAGGAGCCCACAGTCTTGCCAGAGAATCATACATTCGGCTAATACTTGGAAATGCAAATGCAGGGGTCAGGACATGCACAGGGAGACCTGCCCGAGCCAAAAGATCAGGAAAAGCTCTCCTGAAAATCCATTTACACTGAATCTTAAGGGATGGATGGGGATTAGATGAAGGAATATGGAAGAGTGGATGGAACAAAAAAGAACATTGGATGGAAGGGTGGATGGATGGATGGATGGATGGAAGGATGGAAGGATGGAAGGATGGAAGGATGGATGCATGGGTGGGTGAACCTAGCATTGAAGTCTGAATTCAATGCCACAGTAGTACAGAATATTCTGACCGGCAGTGGGAGACAGATGGTGAATCCGGGTGTTTTGTTAGGTGCGTGGTGGTGGGAGCAGTGTCTTCATTGCCTTCCTCGGCTGGCTTGTGGGTCAGACAGAGGTGCCGGGAATGGCGCGTGCTCTTGGGAAATAGGTGAAAGGACACACCAGGCTCCTCTGCCAGGCATGGGGGACCCTGGGACTCAGGTGGAACTCCTCAGCCTGGATCACTTGGCCCTGCCAGCCTCACACAGCTCACCCAAATCTCTTCTTCCCACCCAGATGAACGGGAAGTGGTTCAGAAGAAGACCTTCACAAAATGGGTGAACTCCCACCTGGCCCGAGTTTCCTGCCGCATCAGCGACCTCTACAAGGACCTGCGGGATGGGCGGATGCTCATCAAGCTGCTGGAGGTGCTCTCCGGAGAGATGCTGGTAAAGCCCCTCTCTGTGCTGGACTTCTTCCTGGACTCATGGCCGGTGCCATCAGCCCCATTTTAGGAAAAGACATGGTCAGGGTACCTTCAATTCTCATGGTCTGCCAGGGTTTCTCCTTGTTCTTTTGGAATTCCCGATACTTAGAATGTCAAGGGTCCACATGGCGGACTAGGTCTTCTGACCTCTTCCCAGAGCTTCTTGTCCCTTCTGACCAAACCCACAATGGACAGTTCATTGAGCTCTTACTATGTGCCAGGCACGCTTCTCATAGAAGCCATGCAAAGCACTGTTGTTCTCACTGGAGTCTGAGCCTCTGGGGCTGCCTGTAAGGGCCTGAGCCTTAGCCTCCTCACATGCTGTTGGAGAATTTACATCTTTCCTGGAAGCCAGAGGAAAGTATGGAAGGTAGCTTAGCCATGTGATTTCCCACATGTGCTAGTGGAATCTCTTAGAGACCCTCTCGGCAGACCCCACCTGATGGTACCATGGCCTCTGAAGGACAAGTAGGTGAAAGCGCTTGTTTTGCTCTGTTACTTCCTTGGTGATCTTGGGCCTGTCAGATAGGACCCTCTTTGCTTCCATTTCCACGATGCATAGACTGAGAACAAGGATACGTGTACCTGAGGAAGTACTCTGAGAACCTTGGGGTTTGAATGAAAATGTACCTCACCTTTTCAACTCCAGGCTGAAGTTCTCTCTCTTACTTCTTTTGAAATACCACTGAAGAGTATTACCCTTGAGATCCCTTCGAATGGGACATTTAGCATCCTCGATGAGCCCCTTGGGTTTGAGTTGGAGGCATTTAGTGCAGGGAGGAGCATGATCGGCGGGCACGGGTCCGTTATCAATCACCAAGCTTTAAATCATTCTTGTCACTGACCTGCAGTAATTAGTTCTTAGAACTGTGTCTGGAGCATAGTAAGTGCTCAATTAACTGTTTGTCCTATTATTGTGTTCGAAGGCCATTTGGTGCCTGCTCAGAAGGCTATATTCAGACCCAAAAGGGCACCCATGCAGCCTGGTTGCCAAGCTCTGAGTCCTCACCACAGGGAACCTCCTACCTTTGCTAAAAGGAAAGCAAGAGGGACCAGTTGGCCAGGAGAGTGGAGGGTGGTGCTGATGGCAGGAGCTGGTTCAGCCTGCAAGACACCTGTGTGATCCCTCTGTGCCAACTGATGCCATTGCTGTCCCCTAGCCAAGGCCCACCAAGGGAAAGATGCGCATCCACTGTCTGGAGAACGTGGACAAGGCCCTGCAGTTCCTCAAGGAGCAGCGTGTGCACCTGGAGAACATGGGCTCCCACGACATCGTGGATGGCAACCACCGCCTGGTCCTGGGCCTCATCTGGACCATCATCCTCCGCTTCCAGGTGGGTCCCAGGGAGGAATTCAAGGAGGCCTCTTGGCACTTAGGGATCGTACAAAATAGTGACTAGAGACCAGTGAGTGTGCACCTTCTGGGAGTCTAGAAACCCATCTACGGGACAGAGATCTTGGAAAGAGAGCCTATCCTGTGTCATCCCAAAGTGCTGAAGCTCAGGGGCATCCCTCTGTTGTAGAGCAGCGTCTTGAGGGACACCATAGAAGTCAACAAGAAATAACAATAATCAGGGTCCAGATTATTCCTGAGGACATTTGGAAAGGGTGAGGGAAGGAAAGCAGGGCTTTTGACCCGCTGGCTTGAGGGTGGCCAGGAGGGAGAAGAGAACAGCCAGCCACCGACAAGGCCTCATCGCAGTGGTCCTGGAGGTCATAACAGCAGGACGAAAGGGCAGGGGGAACCGCTAATGAAACACTGCATCATCCAGCTTTCCTGTTGTTCTTCCGTGGTGGGGGGGCATCGCACTGACCAGAGGAATCAGGGCGTGGTGTCGTCGATTCTCAGCGTCCTGCTAGCGTTTCCCAATTTAAGCTGTCTCCTCTGTCGTGAGGAAGCCATCCCATGTGCTTGGGCAGACTGAGGCGACAGGGACCAGGGCCTCAGGGTGGTGTTGCTGCAGAGTCGGTGCGGTGAACGGATGGCTGCAGAGGAGGACAGAGGAAGGGCGTCCCTCAGGGATCTGTGCTAAACTGCTCCCCCCGCCCTCTCTCTCTGCCATCCTCAGATTCAGGACATTGTTGTCCAAACTCAGGAAGGTCGTGAGACGCGGTCAGCCAAAGACGCGTTGCTGTTGTGGTGTCAGATGAAGACCGCAGGGTACGTGTGCCTCGGCAACCCGCCACTACCACATTCCCCACCTGCCTCTGGCTCCCCCCGGGGCTGCCATCCCCAAGGGACACTAAGAATCACCACCTAGAACTGTAATCGCTCCAACATTATCAATGCTGCCTGTCCTGACCTGGTGCTTGGGGCTGAGGCAGGTTCTTTTCTAAAGTTGCCTGAGGTCAGACTGTGGGGCCTGTTGGGTGTGTAGGCCACCGTCATGGGAGAGCGTCTTTGTGTGGCTTAGGTCTGCCCCCTGGTGTTGAAGTAGCTCAGAAGGGTCAGATCTGTTCCTCTCCTGGCATATTGGCCCTCAGTTCACACACTTGTTTATGGCTCCAAAAGAATCTATTTCTCAGGGTTTTTTGTGGTTTTTTTTTTGGTACTGGACATTGAATCCAGGGGCATTTAACCACACTGAGTCAAAACCTCAGCCCTTTTTTGTATTTTATTTAAGAGACAGGATCTTGCTGAGTTCCTCAGGGCCTTGCTAAGTTGCTGAGGCTGGCTTTGAACTCACGATGCTCCTGTCCCAGCCTCCCAAGCTGATGAGATTACAAGCATGAGCCACCACGTCCAGATATTTCTCAGATCATTTTTTTTTGGGGGGGGGGAGGTGGGGGTAGGTACCGGGAATTGAACTCAGGAGCACTTGACCACTGAGTCATATCCTCAGCTTTATTTTGTATTTTGTTTAGAGACAGGGTCTCACTGAGTTGTTTAGGGCCTCACCATTGCTGAGGCTAGCTTTGAACTTGTGATCCTCCTGCCTCAGCCTCCCAAGCCAATAGGCTCACAGGTGAGCGCCACCGCACCTGGCCTATTTCTCAGATCTCACTGTTTCTCTTGAATATTTTAGGTACCCCCACGTCAATGTCACCAACTTCACCTCCAGCTGGAAGGATGGCCTGGCCTTTAATGCCCTGATCCACAAGCACCGGTAAGAGGAAGGAGAGAGCTGTGGGGACGGACTGGGTAGTTGGATGTGTTGCACTTAACACAGGGGCCAAGGGAAGGCTCCTCTGCTGTTTTTACTCCTTTCGCCCTTGGCCTCCCTAGTGTCCATGCTTCCCTTAAGTTCCATTCCCACCTGATGCCCACTTCCTCACCAGCTGGTGCTCACAGCAGCCCCTCTCCGCTGTTCCCGTCTCTCATTTCTCCTTCTTGGCCACCTTCCTACATCTGTCCAGTGTCTTTCCATCATACTAGGGCTGCCCTCTTAACTGTCCATCTTTGTCCCCAGGCCTGACCTGATCGATTTTGATAAGCTGAAGGACTCCAATGCCCGGCATAACCTAGAACATGCATTTGATGTGGCTGAGCGCCAACTGGGCATCATCCCGCTCCTCGACCCTGAAGGTGAGCCAGCCCCCCTCACTATTCTAGAGAGAGCCGGGCTGAAAGGGTTCCTGGAGGCTGGCCAGGTGCCAGGTGCACTCAGGCACGGGGAGGGTGTGGGGACAGGCCAGGGCTCTGCACTGGACCAGCTCATCAGCTCCAAGCAGGTTCCAAGCACCTCCCCTGCCTGTACACAGGTCTAGTGTGGACCTTGGATCCCTCTCTCTGCCTTTGTAATTTGTGGTCCTGCTGTGCATTTCATCACCGTGTGAATCAGACCTTCTACTCTCACCCCATTGGCTGTCACTTGATGCCTATGGTTGAACTTGTGCCGGAGGAAGAGGGGCTGAACCTCAGTCTGACCTTTCTGGCTTTGGTTTGGTGCTGAGAGGGCACCCTTTCCCCTTACAGATGTCTTCACAGAAAACCCAGATGAGAAATCCATCATCACGTACGTGGTGGCATTTTACCACTACTTCTCCAAGATGAAGGTGCTGGCAGTGGAGGGCAAGCGTGTCGGCAAGGTACTGAGCTCTTCTGTCAGTACAGCATCATTCTTTCCATTTGCCAGCCCCAGGCCCTGTCCAGTCTGAGAGCTTCAGGTCTGGGCCCCCAGCTACAGCATGTGTGTGTGTGTGTGTGTGTGTGTGTGTGTGTATCTAAAGCATTCTGTCAAACTCTCCAGCTGACTTCCAAAGCAGATCTTTGTCCAGAAAGAGGTTTCAGAGATTTCCACCTGTAGCTCCTAGTGTCTTCCGCATGGAGACCTCATGAACATTCCCAAAGCAACCCCTGTGGGCTTATTTGGTTTGTCTGTGGCTTCAGACCTCTGAGGCTCCCACGGTTTACCAGAAACCCACCCCTCTGTACAGAACCTCAGGTCGGATTCCTTTCCCTTGCCGGGTCATTAACTTCTCAAGGATAGGAACCATTTCCCATTCATCTGTGTGTGTCTGTTATTTAATAAAGATGGTTCTCAATTCCTAAGAAACATTTTTGGATAAATGAATTCCTGTTTTTAAATAAATGAATCCCTAGCCACTCAAGAACTGGTATCCTGGTGCAGTGGTGCAGTGAGCTTACTAATCTTTTTTGTTTTTTGTTTTTTTTTTTTGTTTAGTTTTAGTGGGACACAATATCTTTATTTATTTTTATGTGGTGTTGAGGATCGAACCCAGGACCTCACACATGCACCGCGGGTGCCCTACCACTGAGCCCCAGCTACAGTCCAAGCTTACTAGTATTTTATAGGGTTAGAAGAAGGGGGCAAATTCTCCTGAACCCCAGCTCTCTGCCAATTTTGCAAGAGGGCTTCACCTCTTTCCAGCCCACCTCTTCTGCCTTAGCCACATTCTGGGTCTCAGGGGACAAACCCAACTTAGAACTCTCCAGGGCTTGAGAGGTGGGAACCCCACTTCAGGCACCTTGATTTTGAGCCCCATTGGTGACCTCAGCAGTGGAGATGAGAATGACTGAAAAAGCAATTCCTTAGGTCATTGACCACGCCATTGAGACTGAGAAGATGATTGAAAAGTACAGTGGGCTAGCCTCAGACCTACTCACTTGGATCGAGCAGACCATTAACGTCCTGAACAGCCGCAAGTTTGCCAACTCGCTGACCGGCGTCCAGCAGCAGCTGCAGGCCTTCAGCACCTACCGCACAGTGGAGAAGCCACCCAAGTAAGGGCACTTGGGAGGGTGTGGTCGTCGAGGGCTACCCGACTGTTCAAAGGTAGAGCCTGGCTCTGGGTGTTATGAAGTGTATCCATGGGCCACAGCCTCAAGATTCAAGAGCTGCATGCACATCTGTCACCAGCATCATGCCCCTCTTGGCCACCCTACTCCCAAGTCATCAATTTATAGGAAACAGGCATTGATGAGAAACCCTGACTCATAACCAAGGAAGGTATTTTGTAGAACCCCTGCCCCCCACCCATTGAGGCGCAGGAAAGGAACTTGAGGCTTCTGAGTCTCCTTGGAGCCCTAGTTTTGGAGAGCTCTGCTTTTGTCTGTGTCTTGAGCTGCGGGTTTGTTTTCTGGAGATGACCTCTGTATTCTCAGCCTCTGAGCTCTCTGTGTGGGGCCTTGTGATCATCAAGTATATCCATCTCTGCCTCTCCCATCTGTCACTGCTCCTCTGCAAAGCACTAAGCCTGCTGCTCAGAATCTCAGCACCACCCCACCACATGTATACACATACACACAACCATGCAGACACATATGTGGGCACACACAAAACTGCATGTGCATGCACATGTGCACAAACAACCACACACATGCATAGGTCTGTGCACACAATCATGGATGCACACACACAACCATGCACACACAGGAACGTATTCCCAACTGCACAAACAGTGCATCCACACATGCACACGAACATACATACACCACACACACATGCATGTGTGTACAATGCAGTTATGCAGGCACAACCATGTGCACACATACATGCATGTGTCCACAAACATGCACACAAACATGTATGTGCATGTGTGGTCTCCCTTCTCATCTCCCACACTCTCCATTCAAGACTCTCAAACAGGGAAAGGTTAGACACAGAGCCTAGAATGTTCTATAAACAAGGATCTGTCTTTTAGCCTGACACTTTTAAAGTCCTAAATTCAATACAGATAGTATTCCTTGTGGGTCTACCAGGCACTATACATAGGGTGTTACCCTTGGTTGTATAGACAGTGCTTCAAGGACTTAGCCCTCTTAAGTGCCTCTGAGCACTGAGATCCATCAGGCTGAGCTTGTGGTGGACACCTGGCTTATAGCCAATCCCAGCTGCCATGTGAAGGGTGTTGACATAAGTAGCCCCCTGAGTTTCATGAAGACGTGTAAAAGTCCCCAGTTACGTGGAGCTTAGAGCCCATGTGGCAGACATCAGTCCTGCTACCAGTTCTTGTCTCCTGTACCCACAATCCTCCCAGAGCCCATCCTTTCCTGACCCCTTGAAAACATCTGGCCTATAGGACTTGTTGGAAGATCCAGCTTATTAGCACTTGGGGGGGAAGTTGCATTCAGCACAATATGTTCTTATGTGGATAATGCTGCTCCTAAGGTTTTATTGACTCAATTTAAAAAAAAAAACTATCTAAAGAGCTAGTCAGAAGCCTTCATCCTTTGCAGAACAGAGAAGAGTGTCTTTATGTCGATTGCTAAAACCTGATATCCACCAGAATATTTCAGTTAACTGTTCCCTGTGGAAGCAAATGATAAGTGCTGTGTTAGCCACTGTGTTTTCTCTCATATGCGTTATGAAAACCCAAACCCCCTAAGATCTCTCTTGGTGAGAATGATAGATGTTGTAACAGGTAAGCAGACCTGAGGCTTCCCTTTACTTTTCCTTTGTTTTTAAATCAAATATACTTTGCTGTCCAAGATCCAAAAAACTCTGTTGTTGTCAGCAAGCAATTTGGCCATGAGGATCATGACACCAATCTCCTACTTCTGTTTTCTTGACAGGTTTCAGGAGAAGGGGAACCTGGAAGTCCTACTTTTTACCATCCAGTCTCGGATGAGAGCTAATAATCAGAAAGTGTATACGCCCCACGACGGGAAACTAGTGTCTGACATCAACCGGGTACCGTGGTGTTTTCCATTATGCATTCTCAGTGGTGGGCTGAGCTCCTGATGCAGGCATGCGGAATGGCCCCTGGACGAGGTTAAACCAAGCCAGTTTGTTTAGCGGTATTAGCTGCTTGCTGGCTATTTGGAGGCGTTGTTCTGAGAGATCAAACTCTACCCACCATCTTTTTTTGTTCAACTCCTTATTCAGATACTCAGAACTATTCTTTGGAGCCAGGTGCATAGCCTGTCCCCAATAGAACCTTGAATTTATCTTTGAATATGGAATATTAATTACTTATAACAAAAGAGAAATGCCTGAAGATGTTTCCAAGGGTTGGAGGTAATCCTTTAGTCAACAATATTTACTGAGCTTCCAGAGAGTTGAAAAACACGATATCGGGTCTAGAGTCTGAGGCAGATTTAGGGGAAGAGGGAAGCGAGAGGTCACGACCGGTGCTCCTCCACTCTTTGGTTGGCCCAGACACGAAGCCCGAGCTTTCAACTGCCACCACATCGCCCAAGAGCATGGAGATTTACCTAGAATCCCGAAATCACTGTGTGTCGGGTGAAAGAGATGCGAGCCCAAAGCCACCCGTTTCTCCTGTGCCCCAAGAATTCTCCTTCTGCCCCACACAGGCCTGGGAAAGTCTGGAGGAAGCTGAGTACCAGAGGGAGCTGGCCCTGAGGAGCGAGCTCATTCGGCAGGAGAAGCTGGAGCAGCTGGCCCGGCGCTTTGACAGAAAGGCTGCCATGAGAGAGACGTGGCTCAACGAAAACCAGCGCCTTGTGACTCAGGTAATGGGTATGCACTTGGGGATGGCAGGAGAGGAGAGTGCTTCAGAGGCCCCAGCTCTCAACTGACTTGGAGCCTGATCGGCCTCTCAACAGCAGCTCGATAAGCTTCTCCTCACCCTTATAGCCCAGCTCCTTGAGATTGGCTGGATTAAGAATGGTTTCTGAGGAAGAACTCTCTGGAATTTATTGTCTGTCTTTTTTTTTTTTTTTTTCCTGTGCTGGGGATCCAACCCAGGCCTTACCCATGCTAGTCAAGCACTCTATCACAGAGCCCTATACCCCAGCCTGTATTAAATTTCCTTTTTAGGAAAGAGCCTCATAGTCCAGAAGTGGCCCCTAAAGTTGTCTTACGTGGGCTGTAGCATCAGCAAAAGTGAGGGGTCAGAGTTGACACTAAATGATGGTTCTCTGGGAAAGGTGAAATCAGATGCACCTTTTGGAATCTAAGCCTCTAGGCTTGGGACATATTTTACCAGCTAAGAATGGACCCCAGGGCTGATTCTCCATCAGAGCATCTGTTCCCTCCTACTTAGAGCTTAGAATGAAATTAAATTCTGTCCAGAAAGGGGGTAGCGAGTCTATTGAGAGCAATGGAGAGTGTACGTGCGCCCCAGATAGCACAAGGGTAAACCATCTGTTCGCAGCTTTGTGGCTTCTGAGAGCAAGCAGTCCCTCCTACCCAGAATCAGACAGGTCCTCTCTTGGCAGGGTGGGGGAGTGCCAGCAGGCCACCAGAGCTCTGCTAGTAATACGCCTGTCACATCACCCACGAGTGTGGCACAGAGAATAAAATAAGGGACTGCTTTTAAAGGTTCTTGCAAGACATTTCGTTTTTGGAACTTGGCTCTGATAAGATAGACTGCCAAAAGACAGCAGACTGTCTCCTCGCTGGGAGTGCGCTTTCCCACCCAGCCGTTGTGCTGAAGGGACCTGCTCGCTCTCTACATTTGGGAATGAACTTGGGGGAATCTGATGGAACTGCGTATTGTTGTCCCTGGGGTACAGGATAACTTTGGGTACGACCTGGCAGCTGTGGAGGCTGCCAAGAAGAAGCACGAGGCCATCGAGACTGACACAGCTGCCTACGAAGAGCGGGTGAAGGCCCTGGAGGACCTGGCCCAGGAGCTGGAGAAGGAGAATTACCATGACCAGAAGCGTATCATGGCCCGCAAGGACAACATCCTGCGCCTGTGGAGCTACCTGCAGGAGCTGCTGCGGTCCCGGCGCCAGAGGCTCGAGACGACCCTGGCCCTGCAGAAGCTCTTTCAGGACATGCTGCACAGCATCAACTGGATGGACGAGATCAAGGTGGGCCCCAGGGACCACCTACCCCTTCCCCTACCCACCCCAAGTGACACCCACCATGGACCTTAATGGCCCTGCAGTTAGCATATGCTCCGTTAGATACTGTTTAGCCAATCACATCCCTGAAGCAAAATGGAGAAACTGAGGCAGTAGAGTGTCAACATCATCTGCCTGTCTGCTGCTTGGCTCATTCTGCTCCATCCAGGCAGATGTCACCATCCCACATGCACAATATCCCCAGTGACCAAGAAATCTTGGGTTTGTGGTCACTGGGGGCCAGCCTGCCGGATCAAGAAGAGACAGGCATTAATCAGGAGCCTGGAGAATCAGGCTGACACTGCTTGGAATCCACTCACAGCATAGGTCCAACCAGAGTCTGAACTCTCCCCTGTACCCACTGGGTTTTGACCAAGGAAGTCACATCAGGCTGACTGCAGAGCTTTCTAAAAATGCACATGCCCAAGCCTCGAGACTGATGTAGTAGATGAATATGGGGCTTGGGCTTTCCGTAGGAAATCGTCCATGGGTGATTCCAACGGGCACCCTCCGCATGAACTCCTGCTCTGTAGTTTATTCTGTCCTGAGCAGCAGCTCAGATACATGGACATGCCCTTGGGAGGGGTCCCATCTCTTTACTTCTTTTTGTCTGCTCTATCATGTCCTCCACCAGGCTCACCTGTTGTCTGCTGAGTTTGGGAAGCACTTGTTGGAGGTTGAGGACTTGCTACAAAAGCACAAGTTGATGGAGGCTGACATCGCCATCCAAGGGGACAAAGTCAAGGCCATCACTGCAGCCACCCTGCAGTTCACTGAGGGGAAAGGTGAGCTCAAAGGTGTCTCCTGTGGCCAGAGCCCCATCCTCTGGCCTGACACCCACTTTGGATATATCTTTAGAATTCTGCTTCTTTCATCAAGTGATAGTGCATGAAGCTTGAGGATAGCCAAGCTCTCCAGATATCAGGCAGCTGCCTTGGAATCTATACTCAGGAAACATTCAGAGTACTAATAAGACATCGTCCATCTTCCATTCTCTTTGCTAGTTCATTATGGCTGAGACCATTTAAATTTTTAGTTTCTGGTCTTAAATAGAAGATCTCACTGCCTCCTTAAAATTTCATTCTAAACTTTTTAATATCATGGACTGGGGATATAGCTCAGTGGTAGAGTACATGCCCACCACACACAAGGCATGATTGCACATAAGCAGTTTGAATGCAATCCCCAATACTGCAAATAAATAAATAAATAAATAAATAAATAAATAAATAAAGTTGTATCATGCGTTTCTATTGAGAACCGATTTAACTTTTAATCTCTCTTATTCCTAAAGTTTAGACCAATGATAAAGAATTTGGCCTGACCTCTGAGTAACTGAGAACTCTGGCATCCAATCCCAAAGCCCCAACAAGATAGTAGCTTCGAGAGTGTATGGTTTTTAATCTGGTAACCGAGCTGAAAGTTGCCTATAAGCCCTTCTCTGTTGTCATCCTCCCTCTTCCTATTCCAGGGTACCAACCTTGTGACCCCCAGATCATCCAGGACCGTGTCAGCCACCTGGAGCAGTGTTTTGGGGAGCTGAGTGACATAGCAGCTGGGCGGAAGGCACAGCTAGAGCAGTCCAAGAGGCTCTGGAAGTTCTTCTGGGAGATGGATGAGGCCGAGAGCTGGATCAAGGAGAAAGAGCAGATCTACTCCTCCTTGGACTACGGCAAGGACCTGACCAGTGTGCTCATCTTGCAGCGCAAACACAAAGCCTTCGAGGATGAGCTGCGCGGGCTGGATGCCCACCTGGGGCAGATTTTTCAGGAGGCCGAAGGCATTATTGCACGCAAGCAGTACGGGTACCCGCGGATAGAGGCCCGCGTCAAGGAGGTGTCGGGCCAGTGGGACCAGCTGAAGGAGCTGGCTGCCTTTCGTAAAAAGAATCTCCAGGATGCGGAGAACTTCTTCCAGTTCCAGGGAGATGCGGACGATCTGAAGGCCTGGCTGCAAGATGCCCACCGGCTGCTCTCTAGTGAAGATGTGGGGCAGGATGAAGGGGCCACACGGGCCCTGGGGAAGAAGCACAAGGACTTCCTAGAGGAGCTGGAAGAGAGCCGAGGGGTGATGGAGCACCTGGAACAGCAGGCTCAGGACTTCCCCCAAGAATTTCGGGATTCCCCCGATGTGACCAACAGGCTACAGGCCCTCCGGCAGCTCTACCAGCAGGTGGTGGCCCAGGCGGACTTGCGTGGGCAGAGGCTGCAGGATGCCCTGGACCTGTATACAGTGTTTGGGGAGACGGATGCCTGTGAGCTGTGGATGGGCGAGAAGGAAAAGTGGCTGAAGGGGATGGAAATCCCAGACACCCTGGAGGACCTGGAGGTCGTGCAGCACAGGTCAGAGGGGCTCAGCCTCTGCTCACCTCCCCAGCCAAGGCTTGGGTGCCACCTTCCACCTCTAGGTCAGCAGGGGTCTCTGAGAGGCAAAGAGATGTCTTTGGTGCAAAGTTCAGGTGGTAGGAGCCCTGAGTTCTGTTCTGGCTTTGTGGCTTTGGGCGCTTCACCCATTGGGCACCTCACAGGGATTTGCTAGTCCAGTTGCTGAGTTCCTTCTCAGCTCTAGCAACCTTTGCTCAAGGAATTGAATGTGGAAAGTAGGAGCTGGTGAGGATAAAGGGGCTGTGAAGCTAGGACTGTGCCAGTTCTAGCTTTCTGTGACAGTCCCTAAACCATAGAACTGCAAGCAGCTGCAGAGACCAGTTTGTAAACTAGCAGTCTGCAAGGCCACCCTCACTTCTGGTGTTCTGATTCCAGCAGCCTTCTGGAAGGGGAGGCATGTTCAGTGTGTGACTGGAGGAGAGGCAGCATTTCAGCAGCCCAAGTTCAGAATCCAGGGATAGAGGAGGATAGAGGCTGCTCCCCAGAGCCATGCTCAGGTTGATGCCTGAAGGTCCTGGGCTCTTACCCAAGAAGGCTGACCTTCATAATCACAAAGCCCACTCCCCTTGGCAGCTCTCCCTTGTCTACTCAGGAATGGAGCATATCCTTGCACTACAGAGGGCATCCTTTGGGTCAGGGTATCAGGGAGTGAAACCAGGTCCAAGAGCAGTAATCAAGACGTTGGAAGTGTGGCCGGTGGTCACTGGGTGATTGCCTCCACTGCCTGTAAACACTCCGTAACCTCTTTAGAGGCCTCCCTTCCCTTCACACTTCTCCATGGAGCCACCAGCCCTCTCCCAACCTGATCCAGGAAATGCTAAACCACGGAATTGAACCCATGAACCAGGAAAGAAGGGTGTGCCAGAATATCTGTCCCCTTTTCCTGCTCACCTGGACAAATGCCTTTAGGAAGCAGAAGGAGAAAGCACCTCACTGCTCCTCATTTTCTCTATCAGGTTTGACATCTTGGACCAGGAGATGAAGACTTTGAAGGGTCAAATCGAAAACGTGAACCTTGCTGCCAACAGCTTGGTGGAGAGTGGCCACCCACGCAGCGAGGAAGTGCGGCGGTACCAGGACCACCTGAACACCAGGTCAGGTGTGGTGGGACTTGGGCTGGGGGTACCTGAAGTATCCCTTGTGGCTATGCAGTGCCACATTAGTACCTCCAGGGCCCCTGTCTTTCTCAGCCACAGTCTTATACCTAGACCTGGGGCTGTGCAGCTAGGAGGAAAATCTGTGGTGAGCAGCAGGTTGAGCAACCAGGAGGAGAGCCGCGGTCACTGAGCTTTGATGGCTGCACATGGATAGAAGGGGTTATAGACACTTGCGCTGGAGGGGACTTCTGAGTCCATTTAGATCAGCTGTATGGTATTCATGCCATATTTCCCTGGACATGCTTGGGCAGGGAAAATTGCTTTCTGAGAGCTCTTAAGTACTGTCCATAAAAGAATGCTCCTGCCTGTGCCAAAATGCAGCATCGATAATAAGGTTGGCTTGAATGAAGAGGAGAATTAGCAGGGAGCCTCGAGCAAGTTTCATGGTTGGAACAAAAAACAGGCCCCAAGGAGCCTTTAGAGAGGGGGTGCTTTCAGTGCAGGATGTAATTGCTCATTAGTTCTCGAAGGATCTCTAAGGACAGAGCAAATGCCTGCAGTCTCTGTTTTTACCCTAGGCTGTGCACACACACTGCCACGTGTTCTACACTTAGGCTTGAGCCTCGCGCTCTGCCTGGGGTAATCTGGAAGATGGGCTTAGGAAAGACCCTGTTGTAAAGAAATGGACCTGCTCAGTGGAGACTCCACTGAGGGCCTAAGGGAAAGCAGGCAGGAGTGAGATAGATACTTTGGAGCTACTAGAATGGGGTTGATTGTCTCAGCACTCAAGGATGGAGACTGTAGTTCAGGAGATCCCTTTGTAAGTCTGGTGTTTATGCAGAGCAGGGAGACACCTCTTCACTCTTCTTTAAGCTTGTTAGGTTGTGTGTGAGAGAGAGGCAGCGGGAGTGATTGAAAGATTGAAAGACTGAGAGATTATTGTAGTTGCTGCTTAACTGAGGAAATTAGAACAGTCGAAATCAGAGAAACTTCCAGATAGGAAGAACTTGTCAGCTGCACAATGAACTGAAGCCAGAGACTCTTGATCTTTACAGACCCCTGATGCATGCCTCATCCCAAGTGAAAAATATCAAAGTGCCTGCCATTCTTAGAGGAGGGAAAATCTGAGGCTTTAATAATGGTAAGATGGTTCTGCATTGAGTCTGAGAGTTGAAAAGGTCCGAGAAGTCATCTGGTCTACCAGGCATGGGAAGCCCACCCTCTCACAATGCAACTCACCCTCTTTGGGGCAACTTCTTTTGGTTAGAATGCCTGATTCCATGTTGAGTGGAAATTGCCTCCTGGAACTTGTACATGTGGCTTTTGTACACTCTGATACTTAGAGATGTTAAAATTTATTCTGATTCATCTTCCATGTGTAGCTCTTCAAATAGTTTTCAAAACAACTGTTCTACTCCTCCACCCCAGTCCTACTTCCCTGCATCTGCTCTTCTCTGTCACTGTGCTTCTCCTCTGGTCCCTATCCTGTCTGTCCTTTAGGCCAGTGCAAGTTCATCTCCTTCCCATTTTCCCAGATGAAAAATGATCTTTCCCTCCTTTGCACTGGTTTCAAGCTTCACATCCGGCGTTGAATTATAATTACAGTCACACATCACTTAACACAGGAATACACTCCGAGAAATGAGTCATTAGGCAATTTCATCATCATGTGACCATTGTAGATAGAGTGTACTTATGTAAACTTAAATGGTCTAGCCCACAACACACCTGTGCTCTAAGGGTGTGTGTGTATGTGTGTGTGTGTGTTACAGTCTGTTATTCCTAGAGCCACAATGCACAAAACAACATGAGATTAAATCAAGCACAAGAAAAAATTATGCAATCAAGAGACACGGTAAACATGAAATATTTGAGGCTGCTGGCTGACACAGCACACTGTTTCCCAATAAACTTTTACAAGCAGAAGGAGCACACTCTAAAATAACATTCAGGAGTAGGTATAGTTAATATGTAGACTAGTAACATAGAACCAAGGAAGTAGCTCAATGGTACAGCCCTGGCCTAGCACGTGCAAGGCCCTGGGTTCAATACCTGGCACCACAAAAAAATACCACTGAGTAACAGTCATTTATTATTGTTATCAAGTATTATGTACTGTACGTAATTGTGTGTGCTAGACTTTATATAACCGGCAATGCAGTAGGCCTTACACCAGCATCACCACAACCAGGTGGGTAACATGCTGCACTGTGACTTTTCTACAACTGCAACATTTCTTAAGTGGTAGGCATCACAAATGAAATATCATTATATGTGCAGGACTGTATGTATGTGTGAGCTGAAGGACTTGCCTACTTTTCCTATAGGCAAACAAAAGGCTGTATCTCTACCTGTGCCCACCATGTTTTGCATAACAACCACATTCTGGTCTTAGGTTCACTCTGTTTGGAATATTCTTTTCCCAGATATCCACTTGGCCTCCTTTCCTACATTCTTGAGGCCTCGGCTCCATGTCAGCTTACTGGAGGAGCCCTCCCTGACCACCCCATGAAAGAAGCACACTGTCCTCACCAGTCCTCTCTGCCTCTGTAGCATAATCTGGCTTTATTTTTTTTTCTTTGCATGTTATCACCCTTGGTGATTACAGATGCATGTATTCATCCCTGCCCACTTGAGTGAAAATAAGATTTTCTATTCTTTGCCATATTCCCAGTGCCCAGGTCAGTGTACTACACACAGCATGTGAAAGTTGTGTGACAGATGCTTAGTGAATGAGTGAACAGGGACAAAGCTGAAATATTTCTGCCTACTTGGCACATATGAGTCATTCAAATGCTCATCGAATGTGTGATCATCTTCACTCTGCATTCTAGTTAACCAAGATTTTAGATTTTTTAGAAAAATCTTGGGCCCAGGACCAACACTGGGTTCCCAGTGTTGCCTGATGCCAGTAAATAGAGTGGATATACCAACTTCCTCCTTGGAGATGGTGCTATGTAAGTGTGGATTGGGAGGAAGACTAGACCCAACCCCAGCTTCTCTCCTTATGGGGGCTTCACTTGGTGGCTGCATGGAGGCCACACAGGAAAGGCCTGGACAATCACGTTGGGACCTCTTGCCCAGGGACACAGCCAGACTCTCTTGCAGGGGCATTTCACTGTCAATTCAGAATGATTTTACACCAACTTGGAGAAAGCCTTCAGCTTCTTTCCCCTGTCTTCCCGCCCTCAGAGGAGCATCTGTGCACCAGGCACAGAATCCCCCAGAGCACAGGGACCTCATCGTCTAGGAGGAGAGCTGAGAAGTCCTCAGGTCTTGCTTTTCTCGCTCATGGTCTTCCCGATCCCTTCCCATGGGAAAGCCTTCTTTCTGCAGACCTGTCTTTCAGAGCAGACTATCCACTGTTGTCTACTTTGGGAATGACACAGTGCCTTCCACCTGGCCTGTCTACCTAGGCCCTCCACTTCCAACACCTGGGTACTGGGATACAAAGATGAAAGAGAGTCTCAGGATCCTCCTCCTCCTCCTCTTCTTCTTCAAATATTTTTAGTTGTATGCCGCAGTCTGGCTGGGCACAAAATCACGAGCCACTCAAGCAGGAACAAACTTTATTTTTGAAACTGCCGCCAATACCCCATACACATCCGGGAAGACGCCGATCCACACACGCGGCGTTCTCCTGGGACCCCAAAACAAGTTCCTCCCCCGAATTCCCTCCTACTGTACTTCCCCAACCAATGGGAACTCTCCAGGAGTCCCATAGCAGGCCGAGGTGAACAGCAGGAGTCCAATATCCATATGAATGCAAATCTTAACATAATCATATCATCTCAATGGCTAGCTGGTGTCACCTTTCAACCAAAAATGCCATGCATCATATTACTTGGCTGTGGCTCTTAGCATCTGCCCCCTTCTGTTTAATTAAGCAACAGGCACAATACTTTTATATTTATATTTATTTTTATGTGGTGCTGAGGATTGAACCCAGTGCCTCACATATGCTAGGTGAGCGCTCCACCTCTGAGCCCCAGCCCCAGCCCCTCAGGGTCCTCTTCTTAAATAGCTCACTTCAGTGGAGGCACAGCTCAGGTGGCACCTGTGAAATCTGTCTTCATCTCCTCATCGCTCCTTACAGCTCCCTTCATCCTCTCTGCCTTATTTGTGCCATGTACATGGTCCTTTATACAGTAGATATTTCGTGAGCTTGGCTTATTTTTTTCTCTAAGTCGTATACTCCATAGGTCAAGATCTGGTTTTGTCAGTATTCTCCCAAAGTCTAATCTAATGCTTCATTCCCTTGTGGGTAATAGAAGAGAGATGGGTTCAATTGGTGCATGAGCAGTGCACATCCTCTCATGTACTTATATATTATAATGGTACAGAATGAGAAAGCCTGGGCCAGGGAGGTACCTCTGGTAATCTTGCCTAGCTGATAGGCAACTCTTTTTTTTTTTTTGTACTGGGGATTGAACCCAGGGGTGTTTAACCACTGAGCCACATCTCATCTCCTGCCCTTTTTTATATTTTATTTAGTGACAGGGTCTCACTGAGTTGCTTAGGGCCTCACTAAATTGCTGAGGCTGACTTTGAACTCATGATCTTCCAGCAGAAAGCCTCCTGAGCTTCTGGGATGATAGGTGTGTGCCACCGTGCCTGGCTTGATGGGTAACTCTTTAAAAGAGGCTTATGTGCTGTGGAGCAACCCAGGTCCCTGGGACATCTGCCAGACCTTAGTATATTTCCCTGTTTCACAGCAACACTGCACTTGATGGTTAAGATAATGTTACTCATTTTAATTAAGATCCCAGCCAAAGTCTTCCTCCCTCTCCTCTTTCTCTTCTTCCTCTTCCTCCTGCTCTTTTTTCACCAGGCCTCTTTTCTTTTAGGCTCTAGGGAATTAATTTTTAACATGTCTTGGGCAGGGCAGGGTTTCTCTGGCACTCTGTGTCCTAAAGTATCCTTGAAGTTAATCAAGTGAGCTTTCTAATTATGTTCAACATTTCTAAAACTCTGGGGAAGTTGTATACAGATGCTTCGTGACTTATGATGGAGTTACAGCCTGAAAAGTCCATTGTAAACTGAAAACATTTTAAGTAGACAATGCATTTTGGCCAGGCACAGTGGCACGACTCCCAGCTACTTGGGAACCTAAAGTAAGAGGATTCCTTGAGACCATCCTGGGCAACATAATGAGACCCTGGCTCAAAAAAGAAAATAAAATGCATTTTCTCTGCCTAACCTACCAAACATCCTAGTTTAGAACACAGAACACCAGAGAGCATCCATTATTTACCCTCATGGTCTCATGGTTGACTGGAACAGCAGCCCACTGCCCCTGCCCAGTATCTCCAGGGAATATTGTAATTTTGATCAATAGCCCAGGAAAAGATCAAAATTCAAAGGATGGTTTCTACTGAATGCCTGTTGCTTCTGCACCACTGAGAAGTTGAACTTTGTGTTTGCCCAAAGTCCAGCTACACGTGCGACCTCGACTTGCAAGTTCCCTTACCTGTGGTTGGGAATCACATCACTGCTTGCCCCTTGCTGATCAGAGATCTGATTGTTGGTTAGATAGCTCTTGAGTAAAATTAGACAAATGAATTTTGCTCATCCAGTTTGTTAGGTAGATACTTTTTGTTTTTCAGCATACGAGGTCTATGGTGGGGACTGGGTGGAAATCTGGGAAGGGATACCCTCTAGGCAGAGTTAAGGAACAAGGTATCTCTCTTTCCTCTGGGTCTCATCCCACTCTGGCAGGTGGCAGGAATTCCAGAACATGGTGTCAGAGCGGAGGGAGGCGGTGGACTCAGCCCTCAGGGTGCACAACTACTGCGTGGACTGTGAGGAGACCGGCAAGTGGATATCAGACAAGACTAGCATTGTAGAGTCTACAAAGGACCTGGGGCGGGACCTGGCGGGTGTCATTGCCATCCAGAGAAAGCTGACAGGGCTGGAGCGTGATGTGGCTGCAATCCAGGCCCGTGTGGGTGCCCTAGAGCGTGAGTCTCAGCGGCTGATGGAGTCACACCCCGAACTGAAGGAGGACATTGGGTCGCGGCAGGCATATGTTGAGGAGCTGTGGAAGGGCCTGCAGGAAGCCCTGAAGGGCCAGGAGGACTCGCTGGGTGAAGCCAGTCAGCTGCAGGCCTTCCTGCAGGATCTAGATGACTTCGACACCTGGCTGTCCTTGGCCCAGAAGGCTGTGGCTTCTGAGGACATGCCTGAGTCATTCCCAGAGGCTGAGCAGCTCCTGCAGCAGCATAAATCCATCAAGGATGAGATTGATGGACACGAAGAAAACTTCAAGAAGGTGAAGGCCGCCGGAGAGAAGGTGATCCAAGGCCAGACAGAGCCGGAGTATGTGCTTCTAGGCCAGCGACTGGAGAATCTAGATGCTGGCTGGGACGCCCTGTGCCGGATGTGGGAGGGCCGCGGCCGTTCCCTCGAACAGTGCCTCGGCTTTCAGGAGTTCCAGAAAGATGCCAAGCAGGCCGAAGCCATCCTCAGCAGCCAGGTAGAGAGGCGTGCAGGGCTGGGGCTCTCTTGGGGCAACGTCACTGGTGGTGAGACTTCAGATGAGCCGTAGAACTTTGGGGCCAAATGATGCTTTCCTTGGGCTCTTCATAGTGATTAACTGGGGTGGGGATGGGGGTCTCTTTCTTCTTCCTCATGTGCCTTTTCCAGCCTTGAGTCCCAGACTGCCTTATTCTCGGGTCAGTCAGAAGTTACAGAAGTGAATCTTTCCCTGGTTGGCTCCCCTTCCGTGTGACTTTAGACACACCGTTCACTGGGTACCCTGGGTACTCTTTGCCCCCAGCATAGAGTCTTCTTTTTGCCCAATTCTAAGGGACGCCATTCACACCCCAGCCTCTGTGACTGCATGTGGTGTTAACTGCTTGGCAGGAGCCCTCACCACCTCCTCAGCTAGTCTTCATGCCTTGTCTGGAAACTTCCTTCACAGGAATACACTCTGACTCACACGGAGCCCCCAGACTCCCTAGAAGGTGCAGAGGCTGGGATCCGCAAGTTCGAGGATTTCTTGGTGTCTATGGACAGCAACCGGGAAAAGGTCTTGAGTCCCGTGGACTCTGGAAACAAGCTGGTAGCTGAGGGAAACCTGTACTCTGACAAGATCAAGGAGAAGGTGCAGCTGATTGAAGAAAGGTATTCTCTGCTTCGAGCTACCTAGACTACCCAGGGGGTTTGGGGTGCTGGGCAAGGGCCCAGACTCGGCGTTATGGTGATGGGTTTTGGCTTCCCTTCTAGACACCAGAATAACAATGAGAATGCCCAGAAGCTCTCGGTTCTTCTGAGAGACAACCTAGAACTACAGAACTTCCTCCAGAACTGCCAGGAGGTGAGGCCAGCAGGCAGGGCTCGCTTTCCAGGAGATTGCTGTCTGGGAGCAAAGTGTCCTAGAGGTGGGAGGTCACAGGGATCCTTTCTCACCTAGGAGTGGTAGGATTTCACGAATGGAGAACTGAGGGTCCTCAGTTGCCTAGGACATCCTCTTAATCTTCAATTCCACATCCTTCCTTCCCCCCACCTCCCAACAAATCCAAAAAGTCATCCTTTGATTGGCCAGATTTAGGATAGGGATTCTCAAGGAGTAGTCTGAGAATTCTCTGTATTGGAATCACCCAAGGGCCTGAACAGGACTAGCTTCAAGAGCGTGTAACCATGTGCTTGGTAATGTCCTGCTGTAGCCGTCTGAAAACTTGTGATACCTTTGAACATCTGTATTTTGCTCTGGGCCTTGCAAATTGTGGAGCCAGTCTTGGCCTTTGTTAAAGCAGACTCCTGGGCCCCACCCCGGCACTGTTAAGTCAGGACCTTAAGGAACAGGAGAGAGAAGGATGCATCTGAAACAAATCTCCCAATCGGAAAACTGCTGGCTCAGAAGGTCCTTGCTCATCTGGGACCCACTCTATCAGGAAAGACTTGAATCTGCCCTCCCAAGTCCTTCCATTGACAGGAATTCCTTTGTCATGGGGCTTTCCCTGACTTCCTCCCTACAATCCCCTTTCTTCCCAGTCCAGACAATTTTGTATTCATCTCCCTCTGCCCTTGGCACAAGGCAAGCTTGGTATGGTGCCAGGACATCTTGGAAGCATTGAATGCTCATTACAGTTCTTCCTTTCTTTTTAATTATATGATCTGTCCCTGGCCTCTCCCTCACATACCATTTTCTCTGTGTTTATTAATGATTTCTCAACCTACTGCCAAGGAGGGATTTTATCTATCCATTCAGTAAAAACTTACTGAGCTCCTATAATATACCAGGCCCTGTGCTAGATCCTGGAAATAGGGAGAGAAGAATAAATAATCCCTGGTCTCACATCGCATACTCTCTAGTGAGGAAAATATATCTATGGCCACATTATAGCCTAGGGATCCAGAGTTAAGAGATTAGTTCTCTTCGGTGCTCATGCTTCCTCCCCTGGATCTCCTTCTGGTCAAAAATGTACAGTCAGGGACCATGAGACTCACCAGTTGGCAATGACAACCTGCCATCAGACCATCAGACTCTTTCTGCCCACAGCTTACTCTCTGGATCAATGACAAATTGCTGACTACCCCGGATATCTCCTATGATGAAGCTCGCAATCTTCACAACAAATGGCTGAAGCACCAGGCGTTTCTAGCAGAGCTGGAGTCCCACCAAGGGTGGCTTGAGAACATTGATGCAGTAAGTAGAATGAGTGGGTGGTGGGAAACTCTCTGTTCAGATATTGTTTTGGTCAGCATTTTTGTTGCTTGGACAAAAACAATAAAAAAAAACTAACAAGAACAATTTTAGAGGGGCTCATGGCTTCAGAGGTCTCAGTCTGTGGATGGCTAGCTCCATTGCTCTGGGCCCAAGATGAGGCAGGACTTCATGGCCAAAAAGTGGGGTGGAGGAAATCAGGTCAAGACATGGCCACCAAGAAGCAGAGAGAGGTTTCCACTCAACAAGGACAAAATATAGATCCTAAAGGCAAGCCCCAGGAACCCACCTCCTCCAGCCATACCCTACCTGCCTACAGGGGATTGATGCACTGATTAGATTAAAACTCTCATAACCCTATCATTTCACCTCTCAACTTTCTTGCATTATCTCACACATGAGCTTTTGGGGGACACCGAATATCTCAACCATAACAGATATACACATGAGAATAGAGCTTCACCTACAACAAAGACACTGTCTTGAAGCTTACTGGACAGTATAGAATTTGGCAGTGAAAAAAAACTTTTCTAAATAGTTATTCAATCTTCAGAGATCCCGATTCAGCAAGTCTTTTTTAAAAAATTTTTTTTAGTTGTAGATGGACACAATATCTTTTTTATTTTATTTTATTTTTACATGGTGCTTAGGATCAAACCCAGTGCCTCAAACATGCCAGGCAAGCACTCTACTATTGAGCCACAACCCCAGCCCCAGCAAGTCTCATTAAGTCTGGTCATAACCGGTGCCTCTTCTGGATCCCCTGATTTGGGACAGTCCAGGGCAATGAAGACACACCCCTGTTGGAGCTTTCAACATCCGTGCTAGGACAGTAGATGTTTCTGTTTGCCTTTTATTATCCTTACCAGGACTCCAGTACTGTCCTGGCAGGGTCAGGGGAATACATGAAATGACCAGAGTCATGCAAGGAAGCTATTAACCCTCATTGTTTGGATGGGCAAAATTACCAGGAAGCAATCATTCATAGCCCTCATAGTCCTCTGGATAGAGGACTGCTCTCTAATGAGCTTGCCCAGTAACAGGGGTTAGATCTGGGAATCATGTCTCTGTGCTCAGCCTGCTGTTCCTGTCCAGGAAGAAGCAGGCCTAGGGTCCACACAAAGCCATGCTGTGCAGCAGTTAATGGCGCAGCCTCTGGAGCCAGATAATTTGGCTCCCTTGCCTCCCTGAGCCTCAGATTCATCTCTGAAATAAGGGTAATAATAGCACATAAGCAATGGAGTTGAGTGCTGAATACTTAAGGACAAGTAATGAACTCAAGATAGTATTTGGCAATTGTAAGACTTGATAAGCCAGGTGTAGTGGCGCATGCCTGTAATCCCAGTGACTCAGGAGGCAGAGACAGGAGGATTGTAAGTTCAAGGCCAACATTAGCAACTTAGCAAGGTCCTGTAATCAAAATAAAAGGGTTGGGGATGTAGCTCAGTCGTAAAATGCCTCTGGGTTCAATTCCCAGGACCAAAATAAATAAATCAATTCAGGAATAAAATAAAAATAAAAGATTCTCCATAAACATTGACTACTGTTGGCTGTATATGCCTCTAGGCTTAAGTCCTATCACATGATATGCACCCCATAAAAATACTCTTAGACAGGCAAAAAAACAGATAAGGCAACCTCAATAATTAAAGGTATCACCAAAGGTTAACGTCAACCTCTGGAACCCCAAGGAAGGTTTCTGGTTTGCTTGAACCTGGATAGATCACGAATCTTTTGTGTTTTCAGTAGCAGCTGACCCCTATCTCCAGCCCCCTGTACAGTGATCTCCCTGAATTGTTTACCCTCAATGATTCCAGGGGCTCAGATCCGTTTCAGTGGAACCTTACCAAATCAAGTTCTGTGCTGATTCTTTGCCTTACTGACCTCCTCTCCAAAAGCCCCTTGTAACAGCCTGGAATGGGACTGCTCAGAGGCCACCGAAGCCTCAGAGGTTGAGCTATCTCCATTCCCCAACAGGAAGGAAGGCAGCTGAAGGAGGAGAAGCCCCAATTTGAAGCCGTGGTGTCTCAGAGGCTGGACGCACTGCACCAGCTCTGGGATGAGCTACAAGCCACCACCAAGGAGAAGACCCTACAACTCTCAGCCGCCAGGAGCTCCGACCTGCGCTTGCAGACCCACGCTGACCTCAACAAATGGATCAGCGCCATGGAGGACCAGCTTCGGTCGGATGACCCGGGCAAGGACCTGACCAGTGTCAATCGGATGTTGGCTAAGTTGAAGGCACGTGAGCAGGCTGTAGACTCAAACTGTTAGACTACAAAAGATCTCGGGGAGAAAACCTGAAACCATAAAGCAAGTGCCTTTGTTCCTCCTGGTGGACTTGCTTTTATCATGTGAAAAAATGTCTTATGATTCATAATCCATCCCCTAACCCCTTTGGCAGTAGGGCAGGGGTCCGATAAAAGGATGCATAAGAAATATGGGGCAGGTACTCAGAGGAGGGAAGGATGAGTGAGGGCAGCCAGGGAGACTTCTTGGATGGAGGAGGCTGAGCTCAAACTGGGGCTAACAGGATAGGCGGGGGATAGATGGGTGGAGAGCCAGGAGGGACTGCCCAGGTGCTGAGGCCAGTGCTGTGCTATCCCATTGTGTCTCAGAGAGTGGAGGACCAGGTGAATGTGCGGAAGGAGGAGCTGCAGGAGCTGTTTGGCCAGGCACCCTCACTGGGAGAAGAGGCAGGAGATGCTGACCTGAGCATCGAGAAGAGATTCCTGGACCTCCTGGAACCTCTGGGGAAGAGGAGGAAGCAGCTGGAATTATCCAAAGCCAAGCTGCAGATCAGCCGGGACTTAGAGGATGAGACGGTGCGTGGGCTGCAGCCTCTCCACCCCCCCAGGGCTGAGCCGCCAGCTGCTACCAGGAGTAGCTGGCCACTGCCCACAGCAGTTCTTGGCAGCAGATGACTGGTCATCTCACCCACTTATTTCATAGGGTTGCTGTGATGATTGCATTAATTTGGGAAGCCAAGCCAAGCCAGTGCTTTTTGGATGGTAACTCATTAGTCCCTGGCTGATTTTGATGGTGATGAGCCTGGGATTTAGGTTCAGACAGCCTTGGGTTCAAGATCCAGCCTATGGCTTGCTCACAGTCTGACCAGGAACAAGTGGAACTTCATTTCAAAATATCAGAACATTCCCATCTATAAAACAGTGGGTGGGGGACCCTAATGGGAGTTGGGAGGAACCAGGGAGACTGCCGACAATGCACTCTCGGGCCCTTGATGGTTACCTGGGAGAAAGTGGCTGTGTTTGTCATCAGTTATCCCCCCGCCTTTTGTCTCTGCAGCTTTGGGTGGAGGAGAGGTTGCCACTGGCCCAGTCAGCCGACTATGGCACTAACCTGCAAACAGTGCAGCTGTTCATGAAGAAGAACCAGGTAAGCCCTGTCTCACCTGGTCAGTGCACCTGCCTCTCCCTGCCCCTACCTGGCTGGGGTATAGCCCAACTCTGATCTGCAGAAGGTCAGCCATAGCAGATTATCGCTCCTGTTAAGGACTTGGGGATCCGTAAACTGTATTTGAAGTCTCACTGCAAAAAGAGCAGAGAGAACTCTGGGAGGATCCCAGAAGAAGGAGAAATCATGGTACTTGGGGATTTGGAGCCATTCAGTCCCCATCAGGCTCAGGTGGGTGCAGGACCCTGGAGCCCCTGGCCTGGATTTAATGTGTTTTCACAGTCCTGAATTCAGTGGCTTCCCCAAGAGAAGCTGATAACTCCTGGGTTTTCTGCCCTAACACTGCCTTGTTCTCTTTGAGGGCTGAGCTTGGAAAGTGTGCTGTCATCAAGGTACATAGGCCCCACTTCTCTAGTCTGCTGAACTTGGACTTAGAGTCCTAGAAGCAAGCATCCAACCGCTGTTCAGCTCTCTTAGGCCAGGCTGGGCCCTGGTCACAATCCTGGACATAGCAGATGCCAAATACTTGCTCTGTGTCAGAGCAGCAGAGGGAGCCTGAATCTTCAAGGAAGCCAGCTGGGTGGGGTCACAGTGGCTTCATGTCTGGTCAGGAGCTGGCCTCGGTCCCTTCTCTTGGGCAGAGAGTCCCTTTTCCTGCCTGGTCAGCTCTCTGGATCAACAAGGAGAGCCCAGGAACTCAGATCCCAGAAAAGAGCAATGTGTCCCATAGTGTCACGTCAGTACTGTAACTCCTTGGGGAAGGAAGGTCACAGCACGGCAAGCACTCCCGTCCTCCCAAATAACTGCAGCTGCCATCTGCTCCCAGACCACTGGAGCCCAGCAACTGTGCAAAGGCATGAACTATATTCAGAGAGGTTTCTCCCTCCCTGGGAACCTTTGTTTCCCGTTGACATGATCTAATCACCAAGGCTCCAGTGGCCACATGCAAGGACTTGTGCTAGGGGATGGTAGAGATTCAGGCTCAGTTGATGCCACAGCCTTCAGTTATAGGAGGAAGGCTGATGGGAGAAAGTGTCCTCGGGACCTCAGTTTCTTCAGTTGTGCAATGAGCCAGCTCTAGTCTTTCCAGCACCAAAGACTTTTGAGTCTGTTGAGCCTCCGTAAGTATTAGCACCTAGAGGTTTCCACTCCCCTGGCCGGCAGCTGCTGTTTCAGGAAAAGGGCAAGACAAATACAGATGGGGTCTTCAGAGAGTGTGGCTGCCCTAGTAAAGACTACTTGGGTCTAGGCTGCTAAAGCACAAGCCCTTGTATCCCTTCCTCCCTGAAAACCCTCCATGGAAGGGGCTCTGACTTTAGTGCCTGTTGGCCTGGGGGGGCTTGTTCAATACAGTTGCTAGGCTTCACTGGGTGGTGGTGGGGGAGCCTAATGATTTGCATTTCTAGCTAGGCTCCAGATGCAGTGAGCTGGAGCCCCCACTTTGAGAACCACTGTTCAAGCAGCTGTCCGTTATAGCCAGAACACATCCTGCAAGGTGGCTGCACATTAAAAGTCACTTGGGGGAACTTTTAAACATACAAATGCCAGGTCTCACCTCAGATTCATTGATTAGTATATCTGTGAGTGGGGCCCCGGCTGCACCTGTTTTCCTGGAGTATTCAATGTGCCGCCAGGGTTAAGAGCCGTCGCCTCGCCTGGTCTAGTTTCTGCTTACCTCTAAATCACATCACTTGTCCCATTCAGCCCCCTTCACTAGCTCTTCTCTTCCAGCCCTTGTAGCATCACACAGTCCAGGCTCCTTTCACCCCAGGGCCTTTGCATGGACTCATATCTTGTGCTGGGAACATTCACCCCAAACCTTTGGTTGCCTCCCTCTCACTGTTCATGGCTCCCTCCAAGGTCTTCTCCTCAGAAAGGCTCTTCCTGACTCTCCTAGCCAAAGGAGCCACCACCACAGCCTGGCAGCCCTTCTTCATTCCACTGTGTATTTTCCCCGTAGCACCAAGGGAAGACGGCCCAGACTCTGTTTATTTCCATGCTCACATCTGTTTCCTCTGTGAGACTAGGAACTTTAAGAGGGCACAGGTCTTCTTCTTCTCTCCATTTAGTCCCTAGTCCCTAGAACAGGGTCTGGTATGTACATGATACCTTAATAAATTGTGGAATGAATGAAAACAGGAAGAAAGACATCATAGATACATACCCCAGAAAGAATAGAGGGCAATTGCTTAATAAGAGATAGAAATACCTTTTTAAGACACCAGGCAGAGGTCATAAGATCTCAGAGAAAGAAAAGAGGCCGACTAGAGTTGGCAACACTGGCTATTTGTATACAATTGCACAGCCCACAGAAAATCCTCAAGAATTAAGATTTTGAATATAATATACAAAAACGTATTTCACCAGGTTAGGTACCTTGTGGATCTTACTATTCTAGCATTTTTCTTTTCTTCTTTTTTTTTTGCATTTTTTCTTTTTTAAATATATTTTCAGTTATGGATGGACATGATAACTTTATTTTTTATATTGATAAATAAAAATAATATTGGCAAATAAAAATGGGGAAATGGTGCTGAGGATTGAACCCAGGGCCTCACACGTGCTAGGTAAGTGCTTCACCACTGAGCCCACAACCCAAAACCCCATAGTTTAACATTTTTCTTTTTCTTTGTTTCTTTATTTTTTTTTATACTGGTAATTGAACCCAGGGGTGCTTTACCACTGAGCTATATCCTCAGCAACCCCCACACTTTAAAAAAAATTTATTTTGAGACAGAGTATCACTAAGTTACAAAGACTGGTTTTAAACTTGCAATTCTCCTGACTCAGCCTCCCAGGCTACTGGGATTACAGGTGTGCATCACTGAGCCCAGTTTCATAAATATTTAAAGTGCTGGCAGTCACCGTCCTACCTCTGTGGACTCTCGCCTCTGCCTTCTAGATGGAATTTAAAGGCATGGGGAGATGGCCTTTAAAACAGAGAGAAGAAACAAGGTGCAAAGAGGCCAAGAATCATATGAGAAGCAGCTAGTGTGACTTCAAGGACCTGGAAAGGATCCTGTACGTGTGTCGGGGCCTCCTGAAGGCAAAGGTGACCCAGTCATCAGATTTAGAGGAAAAGGCCATTTTGGTAACCAAAGGCTCAGAAAGGAAATAATACACTTTTTTCACAAAGGTTTGATAAATAAAAATAGGGAAAAACAAAACCAAACCCCAAACTCTACACAGGGACAGCCACCAACTGTTCTTGTATCTGGAGCAAAAGCTGCTAAAAGAGGATGTCAGGTGGCCATTCCAAGATTGCTTTCCTTCCCTCCAGTGTGTACACCTAAGAGATCAAGCTCTGTTGAGCAGAGGCGGGGTATGGAGCAGTCGAGAGCCCAGGCTTTGGAATTGGGTGGGGCTCTGTTCCCTCCTGGCTCTGCCACTGGCTGCCAGCAAGTTCCTTCATTGCCATGTGCCAGTTTCCAAATGCTACTCTCAGAAAGCTATGAGGGTCGAAGGAGGAGGCACAGGTGTGTTTGGTGTCCTGCTGGCAGGTGGTCACGGGCAGCTTTAATTATCATCACCTGCTCTGCTTTAGCAGGTGGCAGAGAGAGACCCACAGTGCCCTGGTCCTGCAGAAATGGGCTCCCATGCCTGGTGGGAGGACTCTGCCCCTGACCCCTTCCTTATGGTCACAGACACTGCAGAACGAGATCCTGGGCCACGCGCCACGGGTGGAGGACGTGCTGCAGCGGGGACGGCAGCTCGTGGAGACGGCGGAGATGGACCTCCAGGACATCGAAGAACGCCTGGGGCACCTGCAAGACTCGTGGGCAGCGCTGCGGGAGGCGGCGGCTGGGCGGCTGCAGCGCCTGCGGGATGCCCACGAGGCGCAGCAGTACTACCTGGACGCTGGGGAGGCCGAGGCCTGGATCAGCGAGCAGGAGCTCTACGTCTTCTCTGATGAGCCCCCCAAGGTCTTCTGGGCCAGGGGCTGCCAGCTGGGGTGCCCAGATGGACAGGAGTGCTGGAGCGGGCAGTGAGCCGGGTGGAAAGAGTGGAGAGGCAGTGTACAGGGGACCCAGGCAATCTCCCTGCCTGTGGAGAGGGCTGGGCGAAGGGAAGGGTCTCTCAAAGCTGGGTTGAGTTAGGAAGTTTTGATGGGGTCAGCAGCTTAGCAGTGGGCCTGTGAGGAAGGGCACGGAGCAGGCGAGAGCAGGTGAGCCAGAAAGGCAGAAGGTGGGCAGGAGGGTCAGGCACAGGGCTCTCTCCTCACTGGGCACCTCCAAACTCTGTGGCGCCCACCTCTGCTGCCTCCTAGGATGAAGAGGGTGCCATCGTGATGCTCAAGCGGCACTTGAGGCAGCAGCGCACCGTGGAGGAGTATGGGAGGAACATGAAGCAGCTGGCCGGCCGTGCCCAGAGCCTGCTGTCCGCGGGACACCCCGAGGGGTGCGTGTGTCTCCTGAAGTGACTCTGCAGGTCATGGGCATCAGGCCAGGAGCCCCACCAGCCAAAATCCCTCCAGGTCCAAGAAAGGAAAATCGAAACAGTGTTCCCAAATATAGAAGTTTCTGGACTGTGGGTTGGCCCAGTCCCATTTTATGCTTTGGTCTTGTGGGAGGGACTTCAACGTGGGCCACCTAAGGCCTGGTTTGCAACAACAACAACAAAAAAAAATCAGAGAATGGAATAGCAAAACGATGCGTCGGTTGAACTTAAAGCTGCAGTCTTTTGAAGAATTAGAATCTGCTATGGGACCCTGAAGACTAATTTTGCTTTTCTTTTTATGGTTCAGAAGGTACTTCTGGACCTCATAAAATCCTCAGCAGAATCCTATGTCAAAGCAAAAGTAGAAAATTACACCCGTCTGAACTGTTGAGTTGCGGGGATTCTGCATAAATTAAAACCCACTGGCCAGACTCCTCATGCTTGCCCTAGTTATAGCCCTGTCCTCTGCTGCCTTTAGGGCATCCTCCACTGTATCCTCGCAGCCACACAGCTCCCAGAGAACCCCAAGGACCCAGCCCCTGAAGAGCTAGGCAGGGGAACTGCTGCCGGAGCCCTCTCAGCACTGTCCCATCGGCCTCCTGTGTACCTGAGGGCTTCCCAGAGGGAGGGCTACGGCAGCAAGTGTCACACCAGGACAGAACTCCATGACAGAGTCCTGCCCTCCCCTGGGGCACTGTGGCCAAAGGGGTCATTCCTTCTCTCACCAACTCTTCCCCAAGAAAAACCACTATCACTTCCCTTAAGCTTCACTCCCCGCCAGTCCATGCTAGGGATCTAGGGAGGCGTAGGTCAGCTCCTCTGAGTCAGCTGCTCTGGGTTCTTGCTGGCCATCTTTAAAGGGATTTCTTGGATTGAATTCCAGGGAACAGATCATCAGACTTCAGGGGCAAGTGGACAAGCAGTATGCGGGGCTGAAGGACATGGCAGAGGAACGCAGGCGGAAGCTGGAGAACATGTACCATCTGTTCCAGCTGAAGAGGGAGGCTGACGACCTGGAGCAGTGGATTACAGAAAAGGAGATGGTGGCCTCGTCCCAAGAAATGGGGCAAGACTTTGACCACGTGACTGTGAGTACCACAGCTCCTGCCTTCTCTGCAGTAGACACAGCCAGCCATGGTCCCAGACCCTCACGGTGCTCCTACCACTGCAGGGCATCGCCAAGGGATTCGGTCACACCAGGGTGAGGTGTGGCCAGCGGGCTCAGGCCGCCCTGGGGAAAGACGGAGAGTCAGGGTCAGATGGTCACAGTGGCCACCTAGCAACATCTGCAGCTGAGAGCATGATGACACCCACCTGCCCCTGAGCCCCACTAACCCCATTTCTGTCTACCCCATGTTTAGATGCTTCGGGACAAATTCCGAGACTTTGCCCGGGAGACTGGGGCCATCGGGCAGGAGCGGGTGGACAATGTGAATGCCATCATTGAGCGACTCATCGATGCAGGCCACAGCGAGGCGGCCACCATCGCTGAGTGGAAGGACGGGCTGAATGACATGTGGGCAGACCTGCTGGAGCTCATCGATACCCGCATGCAGCTGCTGGCGGCCTCCTATGACCTGCACCGCTACTTCTACACTGGGGTGGAGATCCTGGGCCTCATCGACGAGAAGCACCGCGAGCTGCCTGAGGACGTGGGGTTGGACGCCAGCACTGCCGAGTCCTTCCACCGGGTGCACACGGCCTTCGAGCGGGAGCTCCACTTGCTGGGAGTGCAGGTGCCCACAAGTGCCATCACCCACCTGGCTCCTGGAGGGGAACCTTCTCGAATGGGCACCTGGCGATTTCTCTTCCTTAGAGAACTAACAGCTTAGAACAGGGAGTTGTGGCTTTCAGATGCTCTTTAACTTCAGAAGTACTTTAAACTGAATGCTCACAAAAAAAGCCAATGCATAAAATACCTTATGCAATATTATTAGCTAATGCATAGTGCTCTTCTAGCACTGTTCTAAGCGATATATGCAGCACTGGATCCTCATAGCCCCCCTCTGAGGTACTAACACTGTCTGCATTTTGTAGAAGAGGAAAGCATGGTGCAGAGAGCCAGTTAGTGACCTGGGAATGTTCAGATACCCAGTGGAGCCAGGGCTGAGGCTTTGGTGCTCTGGCCATGGGCCCTACATACATAGTCCCCAGGCAGGCCAATCTTTCCCGTGGGAGCTGGGGCGTTCCCACGATCTGCTTTCTCAACACTCTTAATCACTGGGATATTTCCTGAGGCACCTCTGCAGCTCCCTAGGGTTTCCCCAGAGCTTGGTGTGATAGAACAAGACAAAGGTGAGAGGCCCCAGCTGCCAAAGCTACCCCAGGCCTCCCCTGGCTATGCAGTCCCAGGCCAGCCCAGTGGGGTTCAGGGATGACACCAAGGTAGGTCGGGCTGGGCCCCTGGTTCACCTGGAAGTAGACCTTTCAGAGATTTATCTGACAGAGAAGGTGGGACCTGGTGTGCAGCCATTGTGCTTGGTGGTACCAGAATCCCTGAGACAGGTGTAGCCCCACTGAGGTCTCAGGAATGAGGATTTGTTGTCCCTGAGAATCTGATGCAGCTCCTTCCTGAAGATGTGGCGGTGGTTAAGAACAGGGGCCCAGGAGCACAGCTCTAACCCAGCTGTCCCTTTGACCAGGTAGTATGAGGGACCTGGGGCCATTTACTTGGCCTCGCTATGCCTTAGTTTCCTCATCTCAAAAGCAGAGATAATGAAATTCCCTTTCCATGGGATTGTTGCAAGGATGCAAAGTTAACATAAACTGTCTAGAATGGTGCCTGGTTCACACTTGCTCTCATTATAGTACCTCTAAGGAGATCAAAGGGTATTGAGTTGCTGTAACTCCCAAATACTCATCAAATTCCTTGGATAGACAGAGGCGCCCAAGCAGGGATCCTTCTATAGCATCTGCTGGGCAGAGGATGGAGCCTTCCTATGGTGCTCTGGGGAGGAGACAAGAGACAGATGTCCTTCCAGTGCCAGGCCTGAGATGCCTCTGTTCAGGGAACAATGTCTGGTTTTGTCTGACCACAGGTACAGCAGTTCCAGGATGTGGCTACCCGCCTGCAGACGGCATACGCCGGGGAGAAGGCAGACGCCATCCAGGGCAAGGAACAGGAGGTGTCTGCCGCTTGGCAGGCATTGCTCGATGCCTGTGCTGGGCGCCGGACTCAACTCGTGGACACGGCAGACAAGTTCCGCTTCTTCAGCATGGTCCGGGATCTGCTTTCCTGGATGGAGGGTATCATCCGGCAGATCGATACCCAGGAGAGGCCCAGGTAAGGGGGCATCCTCCATGATAAGTGAGGCTGGCAGACAAGGGTGCTGCCCAGGGCTCCTCCTCTCCTAAGGGGCACCTGAGATGAATTCCTCAGTGGCTCAGGTTTTGGGAGCACTGACCATTTCAGAGTAAAGGGAGAAATTCAGCCTGTCCAGCAGGGACAGTGACCACTGTCAACTCGCACTTCCAAAGCTGGACAGGTCCAAGACAGGTCCATGGGACCTTCCCCAGGTTCCAGCATATGGGGCCATTCCTAAAACTCAGGATGGAGCTGATTATCCCTGAGAGGTGGGGTCAGGCTCCTGAGCAGTGAGCACCAGTGAGCTCTGAGCTCTCCGCCAGCCGGCAGCTGATGTCTGCCCAGTTAGTGTCCATTTAGTAATTATTGACGACTCTCTGTCCCTCTGCCTGCAAGGCACCCACCTCAGTGGCCATACTGTTATCTTTAACATTTTTATTGAGATATAATTCACACATTATACTTCATCCATTTAAAGTGTTCCATTCAGTGGTATTTATCTATTCCTAGTTTTGTTTTGTTTTGTTTTGTTTTTATAACCAGGGATTGAACCCAGGGGTGCTTAACCATTGAGCCACATCTCCAGCCCTTTTTAAAATATATTTTATTTAGAGATAGGATGTTGCTAAATTGCTTAGGGCTTCCCTAAGCTGCTGAGACTGGCTTTGAACTCGAGATCTTCCTGCCTCAGCTTCCTGAGCTGCTGGGATTTTAGGTGTGCGTCACTGCGCTCAGCTATATATTCCTAGTTACACAACTATCAACTATAATCCAGATTTAGGAGATTTTCATCACCCCCCATCACCAAATAAGCTCATCCCCATTAGTAGCCACTCACTTTGCCTCTTGCCCCAGATCCCTGGCAGCCACCCCTTTCTATCTCCTTAGATTTGCCCATTCTGAACATTTTTCATAGAAATGGAATCACATAATATATTGTCTTTTGTGAATGGCTTCTTTCACTTAGTCTGTTTACAAGATTCATTCTTGTTGTACCATGAAGCAGTACCTCATTCCTTTTTTAAAAAAAAATGTGATGATGAATACAATACCTTTATTTTATTTCTTTTTCTGTGGTGCTGAGGATCCAACCCAGGGCCTCACACATGCTAGGCAAGTGCTCTACCACTGAGCCACACCTCATTCCTTTCTATTGTTGAATAGTATCCCCTGGCTGCTTCTGGGGACCCGTGCCCTGGCCACCAGCCACGGGAAGGCATTAGGACATCAGTGTTCCTGGTGGGGCTGGACTTGTTGGCTGAGCAGAGAGACAGGAGGGAGCTGGCCAGACTCCCTGAAGCAAGTGAGAGGCAGCCCCCCCACTGCCAGAGTGACCCAGAGTTTCCTTCTTCCCCAACTGCCTCCCTGGCCCTGTCCTGCCCCCAGGGATGTGTCCTCCGTGGAACTACTCTTGAAGTATCACCAGGGCATCAAGTCAGAGATCAACACCCGGGCCAAGAACTTCAGCACCTGTGTGGAGCTCGGGGAGTCCCTGCTACAGCGGCAACACCAGGCTTCAGAGGAGGTGAGCCCCTTCGTGACCTTGTCCCCATATTACTGGCCAGGCAGCTTCTTGGTAGGGCAGTGGGGGAACTTCTGAGGAACTTATCTTTCACTTATGGAGCATCAGGTCTGCCTGTGGGTCAGGAATCAGAGCCACACCCGGCCTATTCTTCAACTTAAGGAGTTGGCCTCTCACCAGAGGAGAGCAGGCTCATCATCTACCCATCACCCATAGGTGCGCATGCTTAGAAGTGGATGACCCCATCTCATAGGCGAGGCATATTTAGGTATCTCAGTGAGGTTAAGTAACTTGCCCAAGACGGCACAGCTGACAAGTAGCAAGGCCAAGACTTCAAGCCAGGCCTGTGTGACCAAGCCTGGCATTCTCTGCAGCCATCTGTGCGCTGCTTCAGAGAGAGGGAAGGGTTACCAAAGCCCATGCTTTTCTCCTTTCCTCTCTACAGATCCAGGAAAAACTGAAGCAGGTATTGATCAGGAGGCAGGAGATGAATGATAAATGGGTGACCCGAGATGATCGGCTCCACATGCGTGAGTGCAATGCAGGGCCTGGGGACCTGGGGGCAGGGCCTCACCCCTACTGGAGCAGAGGAAGGGAGGGTGATGCTGTAATAGGGTGGCTTCAGGCTTCTGGTGACAGGGGACCAGGCAGAAAATCAAGCAGACTTGCTCTGGAAGCCTCCCTCCAGCAACCAGGTGCCCTACTCCCAGTCTACTCCGTGCTGGGCTGCTTTCTTTGCTGAGCTGAGGATGGGGAGGTGCAGGGCGGCGCTCTCCTGTGCGCTGGGTATTTGCTCTAAGGAGCATCAGTCAGGGACTCCTCCTCCAGTGGCTGGAGGCTGAGGAAAGGTGCAGAAACTCTCACCTCTCGGGTAGGAGCTGTGAGCCAAAAAGGCCTGGTCCGGTTGGTGTGGCTCTTCATCCACAATGATGGGAGACAAAGGCCAGCAAGAGAATTAGGGCAGAAGACTGTTCCTCAAAGAGAGGCATCTAAGCTGCATTTGGCTTCCAAAACAGTTTGTTTCAATTAATGTGTTTTAAAAATATGGCTATTAGGCTGGGTGTGGTGGTGCACCCCTGTAATCCCAGCAGCTCAGGAGGCTGAGGCAGGAGGATCACAAGATCAAAGCCAGCCTTAGCAACTTAGCAAGGCTCTAAGCAACTCAGTGAGACCCTATCTCTAAATAAAATACAAAATAGGGGATGTAGCTCAATGGTTGAGTGCCCCTGAGTTCAATCCCCGGTATATATATATTTGTTGATGGAGATGGGGTAGGACTCCAGAGTGAGCATGGAGTGGCCTTGGGCAGGATTCAGAACTGAGCAAGGTATTCATGCAGTTTAGGTACCCCTGTGGCCCTTGAACCTGGCCACTGGCCACCTAGGTCCCTGCAGGAATGGACTGTTGAATGCTAACAGGCCCCCGGCCTTGCGGGTGGGTCTTTGGCTTGTTCTCGTGGCAGTGCTGGAGGTGTGCCAGTTCTCGAGGGATGCCTCTGTGGCCGAAGCATGGCTCATTGCCCAGGAGCCCTACCTGGCCAGCCGGGACTTTGGCCACACTGTGGACAGCGTAGAGAAGCTGATCAAGAGGCATGAGGCTTTTGAGAAGTCCACAGCCACCTGGGCAGAGCGCTTTGCTGCTCTGGAGAAGCCCACCACGGTGAGCTGGGACAGGCTGGAAGGCTGGGGAGGGCAGCAGCCTTGCCTTGTGGGCGGGGGGGGGGGGTGTCCCAGAACTCTGGCCAGGTGTCAGGTGTAAGAGTGTGGGCAGGTGGAGAGGAAAGCCGGGCAGCAGACCGTACTCACCTTTGAATGCCAGAGATGAAAAGGGGCGTCTGGGAGGGAGAGGAGCAAACCCCAGGGTGTGCTGGGGCGCAGGGCCCTGACTAGAGAGGGGTCACCTGAGAACCCAGCTCTGCCTGTGCTACTCTGACCTCCCCACTTTCCTTCCCCAGCTTGAGCTTAAAGAACGCCAGACTCCAGAGATACCTGCAGAGGAGCCCGGGTGAGTGGTGGCTGTGTGTCTGAGGAGCAGCGCTCTGTGAGGGGGTGGGTGGGAAGGAGGAGGAGGAGCTTTTGATGGCAGCTGGGCATCTGAACCAGACACGCTTGACCCCACGATCCTGGGCACCTTGTCAGTGAAACCCAGAGTGCATGGAGCTTGAAGCCACAATGTTCTGCTGCCCTGGTCACAGGTGACCCAAGGCCCTGCACAGGAAGGAAGGGGAGGCCAGCAGTGGCTGCCGCTGAGATAGGGCTTTCCCTCAGGGAGCCAGCCCCCCAACATCGCCCCCAGGGCTGTCTAACCTGGAACTTGTCCATTTCTGAAGCATGTGCTTCACTTTTCCCATCTATCGAGCCTCTGGGCGGCTCCTTTCTGAGCACCTGGGGCTGATGGGAGTCTGGTGGGATGATGAGTGGCACACATGCCACATGTGCGCAGAGCGGACTGAAGCCAGGCCTCGGAGGGAGGCGCCGGCCTCAGTGAGGCACCTGTCATTAAAGAGAAGCTGTGTCTTCCATAGGCCTCAAGAGGAGGAAGGCGAGACAGCAGGGGAGGCTCCCCGAGTTCCCCACCCTGCGGCGACTGAGAGAACATCCCCGGTCAGTTTCATGTCCCATTTGTCTAGTTCCTTGGAGTCGTTGCTGTCAGAGTATCATCTTCTTCCTCCCTACCGCCGCAAATAGGCTCCTCCAGGGCAGCGGGCGAGAATGGGGCATGTGCCACCCTGCTCCCCAGGCCCTCCTCCTGCCCCTGTGTCCCCAGAAGCCTCATTCCCGTCAAGTCTACTTTTACACTTAGGTTTTCTAATTCTTAGAGTAATTCCCCTCCTCCTCCCAACCCAGAGGAAACTGACAGCCAGCCACTGACATGACTCTATTAATTTGGTTTTATCTAATATAATAAATTTTATTACATAAACTTATCACTATTTACATCTGGAGAAGCACTTTATACAGGGAGGATTCATTTTGTACACTTTCCTTTTTCCCATTCTCCTGACTCCATACAACAAACACACACACACACACACACACACACACACACACACACCTGAGACATGAACCAGTAGACATCCCGTTCTGCCTGCCCACCACCCCCGCAGGCATTTGGGCAATGAAGTGGGGAGACCCACCCTTCCAGCAAATTCCTCCCTCTCATGCAGAGCTCTCTCCCTCTTTCTACTGACCTGGACCAGTGAGTTTGGATGTGGAGCTGGTTCTGAGGCAGACAGACTAGAAGGGTCCTACAGGAGTGGGGGAGAATCCCAGGGCTTTGGGTATTAGGAGGACTGGCCCCAAAATTTGTAGAAAAGGAGGGTGTGATGGAGGCCTGGCTGGGGGAGGGGCTGGAAGGGCCCAACAGGGCCACTTTGGGGAGCAATGGGCTGAGAAGAGAGCAACAATCAGCATGAAACTTGCATGGCTTTTCTACTGTGTGGAGCTCTCATGGCATGTGGCTCTGGGGGTCAAGGGAGCAACAGATCCTTCAAGTGCCCAGGTGAGCTTGCCTGACTTCTGAGTGGGGACTAAGAAAGATTAGTATTCTTGGTGAAAATTCCTGGCATATGAACCACCCCAGAAGAATACACATACAACTTGTCGGACAAGCACAAGGACCTAGAAGGAGGTGGGGAGAAGAAAAAAAGAAAAGAAAAATGCATATAGTAATTCCTCCCTATGCAGAATCTCTGTTAGGCTTGGATCTGAGTACCCTGCCTCCCCCAGTCTCTCTCACTAACACACACAAACACACACATCTCCCTCTGCCTCCCTTCTAAGCTGTACCAGCCCATCATGCCCAGCAGAGGGCACTGCTGGGCTCTGCTGGAGGGCCTCTCTGGGGAGTCCCCTCTGAAGTGCCCAACATCTCTATGGCCGACCATGTGAAGTGCCCAACATCTCTATGGCCAACCATGTTCCAGCCCCTTTTTCTAGCACCAGCCCCCATCGGAGGGAGAGAAAACTCTGGGGGCTGAAGTGGACTGTGGACACAGGCTGGGACTGTCCCTGCCTCCTGCTCCCACCTGCGCTTCTGCCCTGCATCCCTGTGTGTCTGCATGCCATGGTGTCCTGGTGTGCGGGCTCCTTCGTGACCACCTGAGCAATTCCACCATTGTCTGTGTCATATATGTTTGTGCAAATGTAATTACATGTGCATCAGAGCCTTCTCCATCCAGCACCTGAATGTCACTGGGTTGGGGGGAATAAAACTTGCTTGGACCTGAGTGTCTCTTTGGGGGAAGATGAGTGAGCCCACATCTGAGACCCTTCCTGGAGAGCCAGCCACTCTGCCAGATGGGAAAACTGGCCCTTGCCTGGTTCCAGAAAGAAACCAGACGGTGAATCAAATGAACACAAGGCCAGAGGCCTCCTGGAAACCGATTTCCTGCTGCTTCTCCTTTCTGAGCATCTAAGTTTTCATGAGGATCCACAAAACACAGAGGGAAGGGCTAACGCCCAGTCTGTCAGTCTCTGGCATGAGAGAGACAGGAGGATGGAGAACCACCAATCCAGCCTCGCAAGGCTCCTCACAAAGCCAGCTGCTGACTCCTCCAGCCTCCCCCATTCCTGCCCTTTACAGAACCTCTGGCCCATCCCAGGAAGGTTTGGCTTCCTCTCTGGGACAGGCCTGGGGTCCAGTGGCTCTCCTGCTGGTCTCGTGTGTGCAGTGTGGCATTGGTGCCCTCTAGAGTAGATACGTGTTGCTTCATGTAAAACCCCTTACTAGTGCATGTCGCTTCCTGCTGGGGGGCGGCTGGGAGTGGCCCAGGCGCCCTTGCCCTGTCCAGACAGGCACACACTCCAGTCCACCTCTTCCCCGGGGGGGGGTGCATGCGCACACATGTGTACACGCAGTGTCTGAGCTGCCATCCCATCACTGCAGTAACGCTGGCTCCCCTCACCTCTGGCCTCTCCACGTTAGTGCACGTCCCGGATAAAAGCAACCCCTTCCTACAGGTAAGCGTGTGCAAGGCCACACAGAAGCAACACTAACCATAGACATCAGGGCATCTGGGTTCTAGTCCATTCTGCTGGAAACTTGCCCCTGGTTTTAGGTAATGACCCTGAGTCTCTTGCCCTTATAAAGGCCTCTCTGTGGGACTACAGAAAGTCCAGAATGTTCCTTTATGTCAGCATTGTAGTAATTCAAGGGAGGGGCTGGGGAGGTAGTTTTCCCACGTTCCTGTGGTCTCGTTCTTAGCTCTAAGCTACCTGGTTCGTTTATCAGGCACCAGCCAGTGCCAGGCCGGGACCGGGAAGAAGAGCTAAAGGGCCAGGGTATTTGTCTTTTCTCCTGTTTGGGGAAGAGAGACCAGGTCAGACCTTTGCTGCTGCCAAGGACAGAGCCCTGAAGGGGACCTGCTAGCTTTTCTGTGCCTGTGGCAGCAGTGAGCAGGCAGACCTGCCTGGGCCTGGTGCATGAGAGCCTCTGGCCAGGGTCACCACACCCTCTGTCCATGCAAACCCCCTTCACCTGGGTACATGGCCCTGAATAGGGCTGGAGTGTCCCTCAACTTCCAGGCTCCAGATGCCTCAGACTCCCCAATGTAGCATTGGTAGTGACATGTTCTTTTCGCCTGGGAGGGAAAGAGACAATTTCCATGATGTTGGAGAGAATGGGAGTGCCCCTAGCCTAAAGGGTCCCCAACCCCCAGGACATGGTCCTACACACTGCCTCTTTCCTGGCTTGGGGGTGGAAAGAAGGACCTGCTCTAGGAATTCACCTTCCAGTGCTGTGAAAATGTAACATCCTTCACAGGGATTAGTGCTCCCAAGGGCTGGGACAAGAGAGGATTTCCTTCATTGTTTGGGGACAAACATACCCTGACTGTCCCCAAGCTTCTGGGATAGTCGGGTCTGCAATGCAGGGGAAACCCTGAGACATAAGACCACTGCAAAGAGCAGCTGCCCGGGTGCCCTTCACAATCAACCTTCAGGAAGTTGTCAAGGAACACTGACCCAAGGGCAGCTCACAGATGCCACTCTTGCAAGTGGCCTTCCAAGATGACTGCACAGTGGGCCTCCCTGCAGAGGAGCAGTGAGCATCCCGTCAGGGCTGAACATACAGAGTCAGAATTCCTGCGTCCCTTGTCTCCCTTCCATGGTCTCTTTTGGAAAGTAGCCGCCCTTGTGAAGGTGTGGGGCAGCGTTGCAGGGCCTAGCTGGCCCCAGCTTCCATCACCCTCTTAGCAACCTGTGAAACTCCCCCAGCGGCAGCCTCCCCTCAGCTCTGACGCCCTTGGGTGGAAGCCATGTGGGTGTGGAGACAGCAGCTGTGTTTCTTGCCCCAACAAGCTTCCCCAGGCTTTCCCTCCTCTCCCTTAAGAGCAGTTTTTTCAGACATTTTGCAGTGAATGCAAATCCTATGTTTGTTGGAAATGGGCGGGCCCAGCCTGGAAAGAAGGTCAGCTTGCCCCCAAACCTGGGCGTGGCCCTGTCTCCCCAGGATGCCTGAGTCAGCACGGCAGGGGTGTGTCTGCCTGCAGCCTGGCGTGGCTCCCTGAACATCTGCCCACTGCCGGCTGTGCCCAGCTCTCTGCTATGGTCAGACGCCCTCTTCCTGGCCCCTCTGCTTAAGAAGAACTTCCGCTCTTCCTAAGTTCTTTCAGGCTGTCTCAGAGCCTCTCAGATACTGGTGGACTCAGGATGAGACTCAGTTGGAGGTGTCTCAGAAAGGGTTTTGAAGTTGGCAACTTGACCCTTGGGTGGCCGATCTGGATGCAGGGGCTGATATCTTCTCTCTAGTCATTCTAATGCCCTGGATCACGGAGAGATTGAGCAGCCACCAGCTCCTCCACGATGGTGACCCAAAGAGACCACACAGGCGGTGGGCAAGGTGGAGAGCTCCCAGAGAAGCCTGTTTCCCTCTCAGCTCCTGGTGGAAGTGGACCAGGTCTCCCTCCTAGGGTCTAGGGAAGCCTAAACTGCCATTCCCCTGTCCCCTCACTCTCTTTACCTGGTGGCCTTCTCTGCATCCCTCCCTTCCTGGCATCTGGCCCAAGCTCCTTAGTTGCCATCTTGGTCAGGCAGCTTGAGCCACTGAGCTGCTCTGCTCACCCAGCCCAACCTGCTATCCAGGGGATCACTCTCCCTGTCACCAGCCTGTATTTCTCCCTGGTTCCTTCTTCCTGTTCAGCCACAGACTTCTTTCTTGTTTGAGCATTTGTCTCTGCCTATCTGAAGTTGCCACCTCTTCATCTTTGACCAGTTTCAAGTCAGCACACCATTTATTTATTTATTTTCTTGCAAACAGTTGTCTTCTGAACAGCCTTCCTCACCCATCTAAATGGCCCTTCTCATCCCAGGCACAGGAGTCAAAGCATCAGACACCGGGGAGGGTAAACATTCTCAGCTGCCAGAGTTCTGGCTCTGCCCACCCTACTCTCACCCCCATGCCATTTAGTTACCTAAGGCATCTAGCAGTGGGTCTTCTCTGTCTCCAAGCTCCTCTTCCATCCCCTTCCAGTGTATCCCTAACACAATCAGCAGCCTCAACAGACCAGTCTTGTGTCTTACCTAAGCTGGGCACATTTCATCCAGGCTGTGAGCCCCATTGGATAGGAGGCTTCCTCTGGAGTGAGGGTGCTGGCTTCTACCTCTCGCAGCAGGCCTTGTGGGGAAAAGCATCGAGTTTGGGGCCTACGTCCTCTACTTTCCATCACAAGATATATGTGTGGACAAGTCACTCATTAGCTCTGACCCTGGTTCCCCTCATCTGAAAACAGGGGTTCCAATGGTACCTGCCTTGCAGAAGCATTGCAAGGCTTGGAAGAGAGAATATAGGTAAACACTCAGTGATCACTTGGCAGGTGATATTTTAAATTCCTTCATCTCTTAAAGCGCATGCGCACACACACACTGTATATGAATTCTAACATTACCAAGTTCTTTTCCAAGCCAGCCTTCAGACCAAACCCCTCTACACACACTCTAGGCTCATCATATATCATCTTATGGTAGGCTTCTGAGGTACATCCTCATGCCCTGGCTTATACCTTCCATCATTACCTTTAGAAGATCCTATCATCCATGTAACTTTGCTTGCAAGCAAATCTGAATTCACTGGACATCTTTGGAACTTGAGAAAGAGCCAGGTTATCTGGGCATGGTGAGTGTTGATTTTGTGTAGTTCCCTTCGCCACCTGCTGGCTGATTTTGGAACTACACCTTCAGCTCCTTACTCCAAAGACTCATCCTGCCCATCGGGTTTGAAAATCCTCTGTGGAGGAAATCCCCCACACCAAGCCAACTTCCTAGCAAGGCAGGGCTCCAAAAAGTCAAGTTTATATGATTCTTGCTTGACTCCGAAAATCTCCACCAAGACTTTGAGTCAGCCTTCCCTCCCATCAGAAACCTGGGACCTCTCCCTCTTTGACCTCATTCCTGTGACAGCCAGCAAGGCTTTCCTGACATATCCTTCCTTCCCCTAATGTCCCTCAACCAGCCACAAATGTTGCCTGTCTCCTGCTCTCCTCGGATGTGGTCCCAATATCTGGCACACCTTCCTAATGACTGAGGGCAATGGCAGTAGGTCTTGTACCTCAGAGCAGAGGATGGAAGGGATCCCAGACCATCTCCTGTCCGTCGGCACAACCTGCCTGTCATCACAACCACACCTCAGCAGCATGGGTAGCCAGCTCTGAGCCTGGCCAGTGTCCTCTTCTCCTGGCACTCTATAACCAAATTCCTCCAGGAATAGCATGCTTCCAGGGATGGCAGGAGAACTGTCACCTCTTCCCAGGGCAAGAATGGCCCCTCCACCCAAACCATCCACCAACCTAACCCCAGGTCCCTCTGTTGATATGGAGGTCATTGCTTAAATGGGAAGTCCTTGCCAGATCTGCCTTAGCCTCAAACTCACTCTGCAGCAGGTTTGGAGTCTGGGCCACAAGTGGGTCTCTGCCCAGCCACTTGTCCCCCCCATTTCCTGACCATCCTGTATGCCAGTACCAACTGTCCTGTGCTACACCTTTCAGATTCTTTTTTTTTTTTTTTTTTTTTTTAGTACTGAGGATTTTAACCCAGGGCCACTTTACCACCAACCCACATCCCCAACACTTTTTCCCTTTTTATATTTTTTATATTTTGAGAAAGGGATTCACTAAGTTGCATAAGGCCTTGCTAAGATGCTGAGACTGGCTTTGAACTTGCAATCCTCCTGCCTCAGCCTCCTGGGTTGTGGGACATGTCTGGCTCCCTTTCAGATTTGAAAGACATCTTACGGACAGGGAAGAAGAAAGCATGTGTTCTTGCTTGGCTCTACCACCTGCTACACAATCCCATCTGGTCCCTGGGCTTTTCTGGAACCCAGTGTCTGTAATAAGGAGGGCTGAATCCATGATTTCAAGGCTTCTTTCCAGTTCCAGAATCTCTTGCATCAACTTTGTCTTCCTTTCTTCATCATTCACTATCCCAAGCCTTTCCCCACGGGGTCTGCTTCTGTAACAATGTCCCCTTTTCTGATCTTACTATAGGTCTTCCCAGTGTCATGGCTCCAAATAAAATTCCCCAGGGAAATTCTTGATGTCTTATGAATTGCAAAATAAAGATCTCGCCAACACACTGAAGTTGCCAGCATGGCCATGTGCAGGGTTTACTCATGGGAGTGAGGAGGCAGCTTCCTCCTGCTTGTTCTCCACTGTCTTGTGAACTTGTGCTCTGCAGATCAGGATTATGACATTAATTTTTTAAAACCGGTTTTGCTTCAGGTATATGAATATGTGTTGAGGTATTGCCTTCCTGGAAGTCTTTTCTTTACAAAGTTGTGAGCGCTTTATAAAAATCTAATTCTGAATTACCAGAACCTTCCATTAAGGAGCACCCTGTTGGCCTCAGCCCTGTCTGATAACTTCTGCCTTCACTTTCTCAGGGTCTCCTACTCCAGGCTGCTTCTGGTCCTTCCTGGTAGGGCTCACATGCTCACAATGGTCCTCCCATTCCTGCCTGGGGTCTCGGAATGCTCCAACTGAAAAGGGTAGAGGGAGGAGGGAGTCAGGTCTTGCCGGGCAGAGGCTGAGATTCCACATTTCTCAGTCCTGAGCAGCCCATACTGGAGGCAAAGGGGTATTTGAGATGGTCGTGCTGGCCACCTAGGGCATGGGGCACAACAATTGCTCAGCAAAGCTCCAAGATAGTAGCTGGAAAATCACCAAAGAGCAGCACTTGCAAATGCTTTCTCACTTTGAAATGCTCCAAACCACCTGCAAAGTAAGTGCTGACACCCTGCCACTAACTGACGCATGAGGAAGGGTTAATGACTTGATACTCTCCCTTCCCCCAGACAGAAGCCCAGGCTCTTTACTCCAGGCCTGTTTGGCTCAACCCCTGGTCTCCATCCCTGGAAAGGGATAAGAATGTATTAGAAAGATTCAGTGGGAAAAAAAAGAAGGTGGCTTAGGAGAGCTTCTGCCTACCCCTACGCTTCTCCTCTTTGGGGATTTGGCCAGCCTCCCTTAGGAGCAAGGAAAAAAGACTGATTCCCAAAGCCTCTTCCCCCTCTCTGCATCCACCTTCATTCCATCCCCATCTTCCTCATCTCTGTCCCTCCCCCAGCCCAGGAAGGAAGGGAATCCTGGCATTGCCTAACACCTCCATCTCCATCTCCACCCTGGTTCTTGGCTCCTCCTCTTCAGGCCTTAACCTTTGGGTGGGAAGGGGAAGGATGCATTTACATCATCACCATACAACAGGAACACAGAAGAAAGCTCTGCATATAGTGGGAAACCCGCACTCCAAAGCCAACCCATGACCCAGCCATATTGCTTTGGAACACACTGGCATGGCCCTCTGCATGTCCCTGCCAGGAAGCATGGGCCAGGCACTTATGAGGAGGGAACAGAGATTATGTTGGGAGTCAGTCCTGGCTAAATCCATCCTGATTGTCAGAGATCAGTTCCCTAAAGAAGGAGTAAGAATATAGGAAGCAGATGTGGACACAGAGCTCTCCAGCACAGCCAGTCCCAAGTGGGTAGAAACTGGGTGAGAGGGACACATAAGGCTGTGAGGACTGGCAGGCTTCCCTCCTGTGTCCACTATGGCATTTCTCTAAGACTCCAGACCTGAGACTCGGAGTACCTGGCCCATCATCAGGGGCAGCCATGCACCTGCACCTCCTCTGGACAGTCTCCTCTCCTGGAGGAAGAACAGGACCAGCGGGGCTTGAGGCTGGCGAGGTGGGGCAGGGGGTGGGGAGAACAAGGCTTCCTTTCTGCATTAATCATCCACTCCTGCCAGGAACAGGGGCACACGCCTGTGATACCAGGCAGAGGCAGGAGGATCCCAAGTTCAAGACTGGCCTAGGTGACTTATGTGTCTCAAAATAAAAAAACAAAAAGGGCCAGGGGGGAAGCCCAGTGGTAAAGCACTCCAGGTTCAATTCTCAGTATGGGGCTGCAGGGGAAGTACTCTTGAACCTTATTCCCAAAGCAGAGGGTTGGCCTGACTAGGGTCCCAGAAGGGCTCCAAACCCAGGCCTCCAGTCCCATTTTTGTCACTCCTGCCCTTCCTGTAGCTAGAGAATGATTCAGGCAGGGATTCAGGACTTCCAGAACTTTGTGGCCAAGGCAAGCTCATCGCAGATGGTGCAGAAGAAACTCTTTAAGACGGAAAGACTGCAAATAATGCAGAGAGGGGAGTGGCCCAGCCACAACTCTTAAGGGAGTCTAAGGAAGGAAAAGATGAGTGCCCAAGGGTGGCATAAAAACGCACACCTGTTCGATTCTGGAGTGCATGCACCTAATTACCTCCTTATGTATTAGCTGTGTGACTGAGCAAGTCACTTAACCTCTCTGAACACTGGTTTTATTACACATAGAAAATATGAGAACAGACCAGTGGTTTCCAAACTTTTCCAACCACATTACCCTTCCTTCATTTTTATTTAAATTAAATTAATTATTTTTTTTAGTACTGGGGATTGAACCCAGGGATGATTTCCCACTGAACTACAACTCCAGTCCTTTTTTTTTTTTATTTTTTGAGACAAGGCTCAATAGGTTTCCCAGGCTGGTCTTGAACTTGTAATCCTCTTGCCTCAGCCTCCCAGTTGCTGGGATTACAGGTGTGCACCACCACTCCCAGCTACCCTTCTTTACATAAAATCTTACCAGGCCCTCTATTTACAACGTGTTTATTGAACAGCCCTCATTTGACGGGTTGCATATATGACCAGCTTTTCCTTTCTTCTGAACACTACCTTCAAACTTCTCCACCAAGCCCCTCCTTCACAGAGCCAGTCTGTTCACTGTTAAAAAGTCTACTGGGTTTGTTTCAGTTTCAAGTTTCAATCCGATGTCCAACATGGTGCCCCCCTCTATTTCTCTCCGTCAGATTTAGCCCATGGCCTAAGGAACCCCTGCTGCAGAGGAGAACATAGTCTGCTCTTTCTTTGCTTCTCCCCAGCACTTTTCTGGGCCTCCATGTCAGTTTCTGGGGCAGGGAGGGAAGGGGAACAGAAAAAGAAGCGAGTCCCTTTACTACCCAGGGTGGCTCTGGTCCTCCTGGGCTGTCTGTGTCCATGCCCTTCAGGCGTCCAGACATGGTTGCTTGGGGCATCTTCCCTCCTCTTGGTATCAAGTTCCAGCAGCCACCTTGTGCTGGCCAGATGGCCCAAGCGAGGCCATCCACAGCCCTCAAGGATTCTAAGGTACTTACTCTTGCTAGCTGCCCCCTGCTACCCAGTTCTCCTGCTGCATGAGGCACAGGTAAGAGGCCTCTGCCTAAGGAAATGCCCAGTCAGGGAACAGGAAGTGTGCAGGGAGGGAGAACCCACAGCAGTTCCCCAAGGTAAGGACTCTGTTCTGGCAATTCTCGGCCTATAGTACACATTAGAGTCATGAAATGCTTATCAAGAAACACCAACGCGCTGACCCCTGCAGGCCAGTTAACACTGTCTTGAGGGAGGGACTTGAGAACATTTTGTAAGCTTCCAAGGTGACTTTCAAAGGCAACCAGCCCTGGGAACCACTGCCCCATCCACAAATTCTCGTTAGATGATGGGAGGGGGTCTGTTAGACCCAATGAAGGGCTGGGAGTGACATGGGGTGACTTGGAGCCCAGTACCCTTAGCCTTAGGGCTTTGATGACAATTTGAAGTACCAGAAGATCTCCCACTCAACACCCTAGGAAAAGTGGTTTGCAAACTTGTCTT